ACCAAGGTTAAGGATCTATCGCGATTTATCAACATGATCATCTTGAGGCTGTTTGCCACGGGACGCAGGATGTCGATATTCCGGTGCGTGTCTTTGCCCCCCGTGATATTGCTTTCCTGAATCTTGACACACTGCGTTAGTTCCCTGTTTTCCCTGCTTTTGCAGATCGTGAAGCCGTTCCCGAGCAATGGAACACTCTCAGACTCCAAAGAGGCTCGTGTAGCTGAGCTTGTCTTGAAATGTGTTTGGAAGCTAGCTCGAAACATTCCTCAGGATCTAAAGGAGCAAAAACTCGATCCGGTTGAGCTCTTACCTGCGGTCGAGCACTTCTTACAGTCGGTGCCTCCAAATGAATGGAGGGCCAGAGCCACAAACAAGGTCCCGTGCGGAGATATGCCATTGAGAACCATCAAAGTTATCATTCAGCATGTAGTTGGTATGTGAAGTCTTTCGGAAGTAAGATATTGACTAACCGAGTCTTAGCGCATTATGGCGACGAAGTTTACGATTTCCTTTCTGCATCCTTCGACGACCCATCAGCAACTATAGTATATCCCTACGTCTACCGCATTCTCAACTCCTCCTCTCGAGCAGCAGCAGACATCCCAATGCGGTCGAATCACAGTCCACCAGAGCCCATTGGACGCCCATACTCAGCAGCTTCCAGTCGGCCGATATCGCCTACAGGCTCTTCTGCTAATCAACAGCAGTCTTCTCCCAGTCACCGAACAAGCCCGAGTGTCTCTTCGCACAATGGTTTCTCGCCGCCCGTAGAAGAGCCAGATCCGGAAGCACAATTGATCACTATCATAAATCATATCTCCAGCGAAACCACAGGAGCGATGCACAAGGAAGGTATCACTGAGCTGCACCAGTTCTTGAAGAACTATCCACACAAGCGTCCTCGCGTTGAGAAGCTGCTAGAGACAACTGGCCCTGCATTTCGCAAGTACATCAACCGCGCACTTGCGAGTAGGGCGGCCGAGGATATGGAACGAACTGCGGCAGTCGCAAGTACATTGTCAAGTATGTTCCCTCATTTCAGTTTCCAGTTTCATCCTTATGAAGGTTGTTAGAATTGGAATCGAATGGCCATGAATCACCCGTTCCCAGTTCCCCTGCTCCAACTTCAAGCCGAGGGGAAATGTCGCCTCAATCTGCACACCATACATCCGATCCGCCAGGAGAGGATCGGTTGCATCAGCTGCACGGCATATTCCATTATAATCGTGCAAGCACAGCGAGTAATGGATCTTCGCAAAGTGCTGCAAGACCCCGGATATCGGAGAGCTGACTTGAGCCAGATTGATTTTCACTCCTGCTTTGTTTTTTTTTGCAATTCGACCATTTACGACTTCAAATACCCTTTTAATCAGGATGCACAATGCACAAATTTTGTGGAATGTCAAGTATGTTTATTTCCAGTCACGCCTCTGAAAATGTATCATCATCCGCGGAGACCTAACACATGCAAATATGCAGATTTAGGCTGTAAACCATCATAGGACCTTGGTACCTTGACTTACACGCATACGGGTCTACTCTCGCGTATTCATACCTCTCCCCTGCGTTTATAGTTGACATCAATACCACAGACCATGATACTTGCCAGTTTCTGCCATTGGGGGGTCAGGACTTGCATACATACAGAACGTGGAGAGTCGAGACGACAAATCGATTTCGGAGTTCAGGAACAGCAAGTGCATCAGCTCGGATCCGGTCCTGGTAATTCGGTGTCGTATGTACCCCCTCTGACCCGACTCTGGATTGTGACTCGGATGCGATTGATATGGCCGTGCATGCGCTCTCGTTTGTTACCGCAGATCTTCCCAAAGACGATCTGGTGAGAGGCTCGGCGTGAGTAGCGGTGTGATCTGATTTTCATCTAAGACGCAAATTACGCATAAAATAGTCAAAGTTATCATGAGGGTGTCATACTGGTGTCATGACGACTAACTGAAGCAATACGTGTTGGAGCAGGAGTCTATTTGGATGTGTTGTGACACCCCAAAAATTGGAGATATTACTACTCCCCTAAAGCACGGCAAACGCCAAGGCTGCGCCTCTCTCTCTTTATACCATCATATGTCGCACGACTAGTCACTTTATAACTAGCATTCATAAAGCCTGTTCATAATGTCTCCAGTAATCACATATGAAGCTGCGCTGGTATTCTGGCGTATAGTCACGCAGATATTTTTCAGAGAGATACGACCACGGGGCGCCTTTAACATTCCTCACAAGGGCCCCGTCATTTTCGTCGGTGCTCCTCATAGCAATCAAGTGAATTGTCATTCTGCATCTCTGTCAAACCCTGCTGACCGTTTCTCTATGTAGTTCCTTGATCCTCTCCTTCTCACCTTAGAGGTTTACCGCGAGACACACCGTCAGGTCCAGTTTTTAACTGCTGCTAAGAGTTTGGATCGGAAGGCAGTAGGTTTTTTTGCCCGCCTCATGGGCAGTAGTACGTTCATTGCGTTATATTTCCCACTTCCTGCTGACTTTTGTGCAGTTCCCGTGTCTCGAGCTTCAGATGAGGCCAAACAAGGAACTGGCTTAGTATACCTCTCTCTGGATGACCCGTGTCTAGTCCTCGGGGAAGGTACCAAGTTCAAAACTGAGTTTGTCCCGAAAATGCAAATCATGCTTCCAAAATCAGTCAACTCAGCCGTTGCCGAGGTCGTTGAAGTCATTTCGGATACGGAGTTGCGTGTCAAGAAAGAATTTGGAGGGGAGAGTGGCAAGGGAACAACTCGAATCCGGGAGAAAATTGATGAAGGTCGAGAAAATGGGAATAAGGGCTTAGCGTTCAAGGTTCTGCCATTCATCAACCAGCAAGAAATGTATCGTGGCGTATATCAGAAATTGAAGGAGGGAGGGTGTATTGGCATATTCCCTGAAGGCAAGCCCACTACTCATTATTTTCATTGCAGTGTTTTATTACATTGTTGGCCTCTTAGGTGGAAGTCACGACAGAACAGATCTACTTCCTCTCAAAGCTGGTGTCTCCATCATGGCGTTAGGTGCCATGGCCAACGATCCAACTGTGCAAGTCAAGATCGTACCAGTCGGCCTATCATATTTCCATGCCCATCGCTTCCGTTCTCGCGCTGTTGTGGAATTCGGAACTGCTCTCGATGTGCCTGCTGAGCTAGTTGAGATGTTTAAAGAAGGAGGTAACAAAAAGCGTGAAGCCGTGGCGAAGTTCTTGGACCTCATATATGACGGGCTGAAAACAGTGACGATTCGTGCTCCAGATTATGACACACTGATGGTGCGTCACTCGTCATTTACTCCGAGTAAGGGAGAACTGAATGCCATGAAGCTTATTCAAGCCGTCCGTCGATTATACAAGACACCGGGGCAATATCTTACCTTGGGACAGGTAGTCGAACTGAATAGGCGCTTCTTGGAAGGCTACACACATTTCAAAGATGAGCCTCGGGTACAGAAACTTCGGACGGATGTTTTGAAGTACAATCGTTTGATTCGTGATCTGGGAATTCGTGATCACCAAGTACGTCTACGGGCGATCTCCAAGTTGGGCACCAACTTACGTTTTTCACAAGGTCCCACGAGCCCAGAAGGCGAGCTGGAAAACACTCGGCTTACTCGTCTATCGTCTCGTGCTCCTGATGATCTGGACGTCATTGGCTTTGCCAGGAGTCATACTTAATGGGCCTATGTTTATCTTGGCATCAATTATTTCACGTCAAAAAGCTAAAGGTAAGCATTCACGCCTATACATTTGATTAATTACTCAGACCACCGACTTTCCTTTAGAGGCACTGGCTGCATCAGTAGTCAAAGTGGCCGGTCGTGATGTGCTCGCAACGTGGAAGATTCTCATTTCTCTTGGTATTGCTCCAGTTATGTATGCTTTCTATGCCATAGTTGCGACAATAGTCGCCGTGAAAGCCAATGCTTCTCTAGCCACGAGGATATGGACTCCCTTCCTGGTGATTTTAGCTTTGCCGTTCATGAATTACGCCGCCCTGAAGTTCGGCGAGGCTGGTATGGACGTACTGAAGTGAGGTTTTAGAAGGCTCGCTCCTAAATTATGTACTGACGCAGTTCGATTTCCCTAGATCTTTGCGACCCTTGATAGTGGCGTTGATCCCCGGTCAACAGCGGTCCTTTGACAAAGTGAAAGCCATGAGAATTCGACTTTCTAATGAAGTTGCCGATGTCATCAATGAGTTTGGCCCAAAGATTTATGATGATTTCGATCAGGCAAGTACAGCAACGTGATTGATGGCCCGGTATTGACCACCAGACTAGTTTCGTATTTTGGTCCCTGCAAGCGCACCTCCTTCAACGGGTAATCCCGGGGTTTGGCGGCGAAAGAGTAGCGTGGGGCAAGTTGATGCTCAAGGAAATTTGCTGATTCATCCAATGGTGAGTATTTACAGGTTTCTCTGGTCGCACCCTCATGACCGCTGCGCAGACATGGATTGATGAGCGCCTCTTCGGATGGAGCCATAGCGCTAAACGTGGAACAAGCGCGTGGGGAGGAAACACGCCAACTCAGGACAGCAGCAGACCAGTGACACCTGACCTCTCAGATGACGAAGACCATGGAGATTACGACCATGCCGTCAACTATATATCCGCGTATGAGGATGCGTCGAGGCACAAAGTTCGGAGTCGACAGGGCTCATACGCAGATCTTCAGCGACTTCGAATGACTGCTACTACTCAACCAAGCGCTTCTTCGAGCTCAAATGATTTCCGCCCCAACGACTCGCAGGCTCTGCATATGCGACAGGGCTCACGGCAACGAAAGCAGAGCTTATCTGACCTCATTCCGGTCGAGCGGATTGGGTCCGTAGATCGGCAAGAGACATTTGAAGATATGACCACGAGTCTGAACAAAGAGGCAGGTAGACAATCCTCGGGTGCTTAACTTCCGGACTATGTGACTGCGGTAAAGGATTGTACAAATTGCATGTGATGTATGAAGTGTTACATTGCGATTGCCAAACTGTATGGGGAGGGGGGGAATATTCCAGGTATAGATATTTATATCTGTTCCACAGAGCAACGAGGATAGCGATCATAGCGGATGAGAATGGTGACCGAGCATTGGAGGTGTTAGGAAGGGAGGCCTTTGATCTCGATGTAGGCATTCTGGCGAAGCATTACTTTGGAAAACTCCATGCCACACCCAGTACAGCTGTGGCCAATATATTGAGCTTCGTCAGTGTTTGCAACAGAAAGACACACTTGAGATATTCAGGCTGATTGAAAAACTAGAACGTGTGATGATAGAAGTTGAGATAAACTTGCGACAGCTGTCAACGTCACCCACCTGTATATGCGTACAGCCTCCTTGGCGAGCCTTGTAAGAACCGAGAGCTTCGCCACCTAAATCCATACATCTAATTTCCCTCTAAAAATGCATATTAGAATAGCGTCGCTAGAACGAAGAAATGAAGTGCCCACCGTCCTACTCGCATAACCGTTGATAGCGCTGGGATCTCAATTAGCCCTTCCACACGTTATTTCATTCGAGTACGCCAACTGACGGGATGTACTTTGTGATTACATATATTGGATTCCCTCGGGTGGAGCCACATTTCTCGACGAACAGGTAGGGTTCAGTCTCAGTGTCATTGCCCGACATATGGACAGTAAAGAGGCGCTCAGTGGACTGACAAGGGTGATCTTGTACGTGGAGGTGGGAAAGTAAGGAATGTGAAGGAATGCCCAAACCGTTCCCCACCCTTTCCACTATTACCAAGGGTCAATGTCAGCGGGTGTAATTGCAGGGATACTGAAAGACGAAACGATATTTTTCCGTAAGGGGAAACGAGGAAAGATAAGGGTACACATGTCACATCCGTAAAAGTCCGAGTTCATTCAGTCGATCTCGAGATGGCTTCGACGTGCCTCGCCGCTGAAGGGAATATTTTGGAGCGGAGTGTGACGGAAGAAAACTGACCAGAACATATAAGTACATATATCCTGAATGCATGCTTGGCAATGATAATGACAAGCTACAGATCCGTGTTCCCCGCAGTCAAAACTTCTACACCAGTCTCTGTGATACTGGGACATTGATGAGTGATGTTTCAGATAAGTTGGCTTCAAATAGCGCTCACAGTAAGGTTTCCTCAAATTGAGCGCTCCGTTTCCCATCCACTGTGGTAGCAGTCCAATTGTCGGGCCAATGGTATGTGTCCCAATTGGAACCCAAGTTGATCATCTGATTGTAACCGTGCATGAGGTTCGGCTCCGGGCAGCAATATGATATAATGTGAACATGAGGCAACTTACCGGTTCTATTGTAAAGCACTAGATTCGATGAGGTTAGTAGTCTCAAAAAAATTTGTTGTTAGCTTCCTTACCATTCCTGGTTTCATAGGTACCGATTGCTTTGTTCTTTGCGTAGTGTGGAATGTTAGGGGCCGTGTGGAATAAGTCGTTAATGCCGTGACCTGTGTACGACCGTACGACAGCACATCCGTTGGCACGTGCAATTGGCTCGCTACGACCAACGTAAACTTGGGTTAGCGGTACCGAAGGGAAAATACTGACATAACTTTGCCGATGTCACGGAACAATGCACCCGGTTTGCACATCTTAATCGCTTCATCGAGACATTGTCGAGTGGTTCGAATCAATTTCTTGGAGTCTTCGTCTATTTCACCGACGGGGTATGTGGCATTCAAGTCGGCATGAAAACCTGACCTTTGCCTTCAAACATGGGATAAAATGAAAACACAACGGTTCCACATACCATCGTAGTAGAGTGATATATCTATTTGAACATCAGCACATAATCAACAGATGAGTAGTGGAACGCACCGAGATTGATGATGTCACCTTCTTGCAATTTCCTGCGATCAGGGATGCCATGACATATGGTTTCATTGATGGAGCTGACGCAATATCAAAGACAAACCAGAAGACAAGCTTGAGACAATCTTACGTGCAGACGGATTTCGGGAAATTACGATAGTTCAAGGGTGACGGGTATGCGTTGCGGTCGATCGTAGCTTGGTGAACGACAGCATCTATTTCATCAGTGGTCACACCCGGCCGTACCATCGCCGCTACAATATCCAACACTTCTCGACCAAGCTTGAGAAAAATGAGTATGATGTCAGGTTCATCATGACCGAAGCATGGCTTACCCTGCACGCAAATTTCATTTTCTCAATTTCCTCCGAGTTCAATAAACGGGGAGGCTGACCCGATCGTTTCATCTCTACGGTCGGTACTCCTGTAGGTGGGAGTGGAAATTAGTCATTGTTGTGTTCAAATTGCGTGCCAAGCTGTTCAGAAGGCGCAAGATCCTACCATCTTCGTGTGTTGCGTAGTCAGGACGTGGAATATATTCTGGAACTTCACGCTTTGGAGAGAGGGGGTATACGGGTCTTAGAGTACCCGCGTAATCGAAGTTTGGGAAAGGATGGAAAGTGCCGTCTGTATCACATCAGCCGACTCGCGACCAACGAGTATGTCTATTGACATACCTTGTGATGGGTTCGCCGCAGTAGCTGGGGAACGTGCGAGATCGTGGATGATTTTATGGGTTTTCTAGTAGATGTGGAGGGAATGAAATGCACATGAGGTGCGAGTGGTGCCTGGGATTACATCGTACTTACCCCTGTCAAAAGTGTGGCGTTTTCAATGCTTCCACACAGATCGATATCGTGATCTACTCACAGTTGCCTTTGAAGCATTCCTGTCCGCAGAAAAAGGAACCGCGAATACCCAGCCTATCGTAAGTCGAGTTCAGCGCTGACAGCAGGATGCAACATGGTGTGTGACATACTTATTGCACGTGGGGCACTCGAGCCGTGATGGTGGGTGCCCATGTGGACAATTGGAACTCTGGCAAAGCACCGTGGCCGAACTCATCTTCTCTGTCGAGCAGAAAAGTAGATAAAATTTCCAGGAGTGACTAGTGACTAGTGAGCAACCACAGCAAAGTAACTTGAGATGCACGTGACACGGATTTCTCCGACGCGACGCACCTTCCGACAATCGTGAAGCTAATGTTATATATACAATTATGCCGTGATATTCTCAAATTAGCATATCATCGTATCACAAAGGACATGACTGTCCAAAGTCCCGTCCGCCTCACGCTCCCAACGTGCCTGTTGGTGCGACCCTTCAACGTGTTTTTTTGAAGGCGCTAAACTTTTCAAGGTCTCCCCTATCACGTAGAGCCTGATTACTAATGTCCGTCTGCTCGCTTAGTACGAGATTATCCACAAGTGCATCCTCTTTTGAAGATTGGAATGACACTTAACACTGGCGCAGTCGGCGCAGCAGCAGCGTCCTGGGCATCAGATCACTGACCGCCATGAATTTAAAATAGGGGGGCTGGCTGGCATACAACACGCATAAGCTAGTCATGTGTTCACTATACTAGTCATCCTGTCCCTTGCTGACGATATCACTGAGCCATGCCATCGGCCCACCATGGCTGGGTCAAGGGGAACACCACACTTGACAGGCCTTTGTCAGTATCGGCACAAAACATTGATCGAGGTGAGCATTCGCGTTGTAACATTAGACGGACAGTGGTGATGCTAAGTATTCGATTGTAACGATATGATGGCGGGTATTAAACCTGATCGATGATAGGTGTGTATAAGATGATTCAGAATAAAGCGAATTAACGATATGCGAGTGGTCTATGTGGAGATATAAAAAATTATGCCGAGGACGCGTAAGGAAAGCAGTATATGGCAACAATGCGGCGAAGGGCACAAACACAAATCAGGTAACGAAGCGGATCACAAGCGGGGAAATGAAAAGATGGAGATCGCGCTCAAGAGAATACGGCGCTTGCTGCACGCGAGCCTTGGCCCCCAGGGTAAGGGCTTTTGTGCCACTCCACGATCAACGGCGCCGAGGTTCAAAGTCAACTTTGAACGACGTCGTTCTGTCGTTGGCAGCCTTCCAGAGTTGTTTGAAATGGGCATGCCCAAAGACTTCAAGGAGAGCAGCCTGGTTATTGGTTAGCCACTGCACTGACGGGAGACCCCGAGTGGTGGTATAGGTGCCCTGAGGTAGTTGCTCCTCGTACACAAGGGTCACAACACCAGTGAGTAGGCATTGGATGAGATTCAGGATGTCGGTGATGGGTTGGACGATAAGTCGCTGAGTAGCAAAGATGTCACTGTGGAACACCATTTGCCACTGAACGCGTCGCTCTGGAGAAAAAAAAGAAGATGCGTGTGTTGGGAGTTGTAGTCGCAACTTGGGGCTCAAAGGGAGCCCATTGGGGGAGCGCCATGGAGAAGGTGCTTCTACGGTGAAGAGCATACGAGTATCAGCGACAGCTTCGGCGTCCTGCCACCCGTGTTGCTGAATTAGTTGGGTTTTGAGCGACATCAACCATTTATGAGCACGAGCATAAGTAGTGCCTAAAGCTTCCGCTGTGGTCAACGGAATGCCAGTACGGCGAGCCCAGTTATCCATGTTGCGGACATCACTGGAAAAATAAACTTGAGCAGTCGATGATGGAGGTGTCTGCATGTTGGGGGGTACTGGGTAGGTTGAGTTACATGAGCCTCTGAACAAAATTTATAGTTGAAAAAACGTACTTGTCCATTGTAAGACAAGTCAAATTGTTCGGGAGAAAGTGAGGCCTGCCCTTTACCAGGAGCAAGGTTATGTATTGATAAAGAGAAAACAAGGAAGATGCAGGGCAAGATATGTGACCTCGAGGGGTAAGTCTATAGTGAACCTGGCTTTTGAGGGCACAAGGGCACTACATAAACGCCGCATGGCGTTTCCGGCCTTTTGAAGGGTGCGCTGGCGGGCGTGGGTCCCGCCACTATAATTGGCCCTTCGTAGCGATTGCGACCCGACATGTTCAGAGAACGAAACACGTTTTTTCGTCTCCAGCTAACTCATTTTTATCTCCATATTCGGTCTTAATTGTTTTAATTCATTTATAATTTATTCCTAAATTGAATAATTTAGTACGAAAATTATTACAGGGTCAGCGCAAAATTACCTTCCACCTTGTTGAACGTTGCACGCTGATATTGCGCTGATATATTAATTACGTTTTGTACCGTTTCTTCTAAAACACTTTCCCCGACGTGATGTTCACCGAGCGAATCCTAGCAGAACGTTAACGGGTCTCGAATAGACTTGTCAGCTACCTGCATAGCAACGGAGACAAAGCTAGAAGGACAAAGGCTGCCCAAAGCTAGTGACAAAGAGTACCTAAAAGTGACGCCCAAGTGTTCCCGCACTAGCGGGGCCATAAATTGGGCTAAATGGTTTCGCGGGCGCGGGAGCCAAGTAATTCCTGATGTCACATTGTCAAAAAAAAACAGACACCCGCAGGCTGTCCGTGGCAGGGTCATGGTATCCCACCTGTCAATTTGCTCCTTGACCATATGTCTTCCCTAAAGCATTCATGACTTTTGACAGGGAGTGATAATAACGCATTGCTTGGATGTCATTAATTACTCAAGGTTGCGTCAAGTCTGTTGTGAGAACTCTGATAACGATCCCGTAGAACTCCAGGGAGCAAGGTTACAAGACTCCGGGTAGAACAGACAAGCTCCCGGAAATGCATCGGGCCGCTCTTTTCATCTGATATTTACATAAATAAAACCTCAGAGTCTCAATGATTGGTCCATGCAGGAGCTTAAACTGTCAGAGCGCTGGGTGATGTACAGCAATCTCTCGTACAATAATTACATCCATTACTTGTAAGTAGGACAAGCGCCTATATGTCCCCCGTCTCACGTGATCTTAGAGTCATGCTATCATCATCTCTGCAAGGAATGTTGAAGGAACTCTAACACCTCCCCAGTACCTTCAAATTACTCCCTTTGTCATGCCAGGCCTTGCAACTACGGGGGTAAATGCATCAGCCTCTGCTTCCCCTGTGGTTTCTTTCGATATCTGCGAAACTTACGCTTCATTCCTGAAGAATGAGGAGGTACCACTTCCTTCTATTGCCATTTATTTGCAATGCTCACCTAAAGACCAGCTATCGGCTCCCCTCGCTGCGATCCTAGCCCTGAGCAAGTTGATTGAGATATCGGATGGTATTACGCCATGTCTCTTCCTACGGTGCCACGTTGACCCAGAAGATAATAGCTGGGACCATGCTTGAACTAGTGAAAGCTCTAAATGACGGTGCAGGAGCTTTGAAGGCCTCAACTTCCAATCCCATCAGTTTGAACGCTGGGTGCGAATTATTCATCGCGTTTGTCACACTGCTCCCGCATGATTCCGCAGTTAGTACCGTCCGACTATCTTCATTCTCAAACTGACAATCACAAAAGAGTTTCTCCGATTTAAAACTGGAACTTGTTAGACAAGGCCAAAAATATGCTACTGAGGCTCTCACTTATCGCGATAAAATTGCAAGCCTTGCGTTGGGGTTCATCAAAGATGGTTCGGTGGTATGTTTTGCACGTGCTTCCTTGTTATATGATCCCTCATGTCAACGGGAAGATCCTTACTCATTCCTATTCGAGAGTCGTGATGAAGACCCTACTCCGTGCCCATGAGAGAAAGAGAATATCGGTCTACGTGACAGAAGCACGGCCTCGTGGCTTAGGGTTCGCATCTATGCTCTGTAACTTTGGTATCTCCAAAGAAGACTAATGGACTCCTCGAAAGCCTACGGACCTATGAAGAACTTACTGCCGCAGGTATACCCTGCACGGTAGTGCTAGATTCGGCGGTATCATATGTCATGGATAAGGTAGACTTTGTCCTAGTGGGATCAGAAGCTGTCGTAGAAAGTGGCGGCCTGATCAATGCCGTTGGCAGTAACCAGATCGCAATCATTGCACAAGCCGCGAATATCCCCTTTTATGCCCTCGCTGAGAGGTAATTTCAGTATTGCGATGCATTTCTCCGAAACTCATGGATCTTAAATTTACAGTTACAAATTCCATCGTCTATTCCCGCTATCACAGTATGACCTGCCAACGCACACATCCAATATTCTGTCTTTTCCTTTGTCCCCGGGAGGCAATGTTGCGTCACCTCCGACCACGGGCGCGATCAAATCAGCACATGAAAAGTCCGGTGATGCCGACTACATACGACAAATGACACCCGAACAAATTTCGTGCAACCCTGGAGTGGACTATACCAGGTGTGAGAACTATTGATGATGTCATGACACGTTCTGATGGATGAATACCAGACCGGACCTGATTACGCTGGTATTCTCCGACGTTGGCAGCTTGACTCCTGAAGGGGTCAGCCAATATGTTGTGGGGATGTTTGCAGGATAACAAAATTGTCCATTTATTCCTCATCACCAATCGCCTTCATCCGGCGATAGGCACGATAGAGTTTACAATTAGCCTTTGTCATTTTCAAGATCAGTTGCAGATCAACCTGCGTGTAAGCGGGATCTTTCTGTGGTGCAATGTTAATCAGGAGGAGGGACGTCATATTCTTCTGGTGTTCAACCGCATTTGCGGCCGCCCTTGAGATGAAACATGCGTAATCCTGCGGGAGAGACCCAGGCCAATACTTCGGCGCCATCAGTCTGATTCTGGATGATAAAGGTGAGTATTTTCGGGAATTATAATGTGACAGGTCGCGATATGAGCGCGAGACTGGTGCAAAATATTCGAGAGCAGCTGCCCAGAGGAGTTCCGAAGATTGCCCAAACCATCTTGAAAATTATCAGGAGGATGGAGTAAAACGGAAAATCTCAACACATCAACGTCTTCCAATCGCATCGCGACTCAAAAATATAATATGCTTCCTGGACGGTGATGTAAGATATTCGGGATGCCGTCCCGACAACGAGTGAGTTTACGCATGGTGCAGCTTGTGGTGTTTGATCCTCGAACTTGGCAGAAACACTCCTTCGTTAGATGAAGCTCGGCTGTCGCCGCCGTGGAGACTCATTTGGGTTTTTAGCTTTTTAGCAAACCCATTCGCTAGATAAACGGGACCAATCTCTACTGGCTACCCCGATATGTATATTCCAGAATGACCGGTGGAGCCAAATTCGCTGTTCCGAGGAGCATCAGGTGATTCCTCCGTGCCACAAGTTGACGCTGCGACTAGTTGGCCACAGATCTGTTCGAACGGTCCGATGCCTAATCAGTAGCTCCCCGACGAGATCTGCATCATCTGTTCTCGAATTTTCGCATGAGTTTGATGTGTCCTGGGGCATATAAGAGGCAGCCATTTCGTCCAACAACCCAGGTCCACTCTCCGTCCTCTAACTTTCTTCCATGTGTCACTGGCGAAGGCAGGTCACTCCCTGACCTACGATCTATAAGTCATTGCTTACTCTGATCCTTGTCTTCTATTCAGAGTTCGTAATACGTACAGCCAATGCGGCCATGTTTTCGACTTGGTGAGCATGTTCGGCTCGATACTTTTGCTGTGACTGACGCTATTCAGGCCGACGAAATGGTCAGCTACGCACCTGAACATTGAAAACATACTGCTCACACGCTTTTAGATCCGATGTGATGATCGTTATTGCAAATTTAGCTCATCTCATCCAAGTACTTGCGTGCCGCCTTCGTGCACAACAACATGCTGGCAATAGTGGGTACCTCGTGGCGCTCATTAGCAAGGGTCGCGAAGCTGACGAAATCCTTTTACACGTCATAGTCGCCAGTTCCCCCAACAATTTAGTGAGGCTTGAACGTTACGAGGGTATGTAGGATTCAGCGCTGACCACTGTGTTGCAGACCGTTTCATCGACTCGGTTTGTCCTGGCTGTACACAGTCAGGCCAAGGCAGATAGAGTTTGACGTCGAGAGGATGTAGAAGCTGTACGGTAGATAGGACCAGAGAGGTGCTGGTAGTATGTATGTCGGTACCTTTGGGTGATGGCGGTGAAGATGCATCGATGATCGGTGATTAGGAGAGCGGTGCGGAGAGATCGATGGATATGATATTTCCTTGCAATTTCCACTGTATGTTTTTTTGGATCTTGAATATTGTTCGCTATAGTGATTTATGAAGAAATATTTTGCTGGTCATCTTGAGAGGCAGCTGGTGTCTGGCATGGTATAAGATCGGAAAGAACGAGATGGGAGGTCGGCCAAAGCGACCAGGGGGAAAGAGGGACTTCCGCCACTGTAATGTAATTATTTCGTAACGCTTGGCTCATGTAGGCGGCGAGGACAACTGGGATAATCTCCAGTGTGACATTTCTTACCGAAACCAATACTAATTGATGGGGGTTGTGTGGTGGGGGAAATACAAGCTTTACTTCCAATAAAGAGTAATCCGAATCAGAAGGCGTGCGACAGGCACGTCACAGTACTTTGAACACGCCTCAAAGCGTGAAAGCTACAAAATGCTTCTAGTGACTGTGCATGTCAAAAATATTCGGACCAAGACTTGCGAATTCGCTATCAAGTGCACTAGCGGAAATAACGCAAATTAATCGTGAATCAAGAATTCCAGAGGACTCTTTAATTGCCAAGCTCAGGCCTCTGCCAGATGGGGACTCGTACTAGAGGGATGTTCAGGCCAATTAAACAAACATTGAAAGAAGGCACGAGGCACACCTTGCTGTGCATAGTCACGGTGAGGGAGATGCATATCCGCGGGTGTAACCTTAGGGAAGAACTCCGAATCCACTTTGCTGTAATTCTGATTGTCCCCGAACGCGGGATTTGTTAACCTGTGTCACGAAGACAGAATAGACCTGGAATTGAAAATACAACCAGGCTGCCGAAATGAAAGAGTTTTTTACGAATTGAGTGATCAGCGTGCTCTAGAGCGCATACTTTACGCGAAATTTAAGAATAATTGTAAGTTTACACAAAAGCTTGAGGCAAACCTCTTGACGCTAGGGGGGGCCCCAAGAACTTGCACAGCTTTACGTTATCTTTAGGCAATCGTGGCGTTGTCACTTCTTTGCTTCCGACCTGCCAGCCAGTTCTCCTTTGGGGGACAACATCATATCATGCAATCTCAGTGGGTATTTCCGATATCAGCTCTCCAGCTGACCCCAAGTGTTGTCACATCATCCTACACCATCGCGAAGGAGTTGTATGATCGATCTAGGGGCGTCGAATTTTTGTTCCGTTTGGGTTCCTCCCTTGGATTGTTAGCCCTTTGTCAATTCCTGCCCTCTCGATCTTCTTTTCACGCGTTTTTCATTCCGCAGGCCCACTTCCGCCATGTTCACAGCCGCGACCTGGTTTCATCGCTTTTTTATGAGATATTCCATGGAAGACTATCACAGACAGGTATTCTTTATCTCACAATTCCCAGATGATACGGACGACGTTCCTTTTAGGATGTTGCAGCTTCTTGCATATTCCTTGCCACAAAGACAGAGGAGTGTGGACGCAAGCTTCGCGACGTCGCAAGAGTGTGCCAGGCTAAGATTACAGGGAAAGATGTCTCCCTCATACACAGCGAGAGTCCAGCATGTATCATACTTCTGTTGCTCCAACTGAGCTCATTTGTCCCCAGGAAGTCGATCAACTACAAAACGTTATTCTTCTCACGGAAGAAGTCCTCCTCGAGGCACTTTGCTTTGATTTTGTAGCCCCGAGCCCTCACGCCGAATTAATCGATCTTTTTGATGCCTACCAGGAAGACTCTCGAGTTTACGATTACGCGTGGAGTATTGCCCATGATTCGTGAGTTAGTCGTCTCAGGCTTACAGAGACGAATCGTTGTCTTAATTCCGGTGCCAGTTATCGGACGCCATTATGCGTCTTATTCCCTTCTCGTATCATCGCAAGTGCTTGCTACGTTCTGGCACAGCGAGCTGTTGATGGGCCTCATTCGGCTTCTCTGGATGCCCGAATCTCCGCATCTCCCCCTTCAGCGTCCCTTCCAACACCTCCTTCTCATAAACCCGCTTCACCTGATGCTTCTCGCTTCGCAGTTGAATATTACGGGTTCACAGAAGATGACATAGCCAAGGTCTCGGGTAAGTCGATCGGAACTGGCTGCCAATCATAACTGAAAATTTCTGGTATGTCTTAGATGCCTTGAGCATACTGCTGGAATACTATTCAGCCCAAGACATGCAGAATGCACCTCATGTGGTACCTTTGACTATGGTTTGATGACCCACTATAGTTTTGACCCTGCAAGGTCTGAATAGGGTTCACAGATTTCACCTCCCACAAGTTCTCTGCGCCCAACACTATATGAACCTTTCTCTCAGGTTCCACAGCCATTATCCCATTCGGCATCTTTCCCCCCCGCAGGCACCAGTAACAGGACGCCAATTTCATCATACGGGGGTAATACGCCCGCCAAAACGCCATTGCACGTTGCTGAACAACCGGAAAGGGCCATCCCAGAACCAGCAAAGAAAGTGATAGGCCGCTTGGATCTTAGCTAGAATAATTACAGCTACTTCACGTCCTCGCAAAAGAATTTCTGGCGCAACGTTTACACGAAGTATATTTGTGGGAGACATACTTATCGAGGATTCTGGCTGATAGTGATTTACTGTTCATCTATTTTTGGGATACGTTACATTGAATTACAATTACCAGATCTCTGAAAATCCTGTAGGTGCCTTGGCTGTTTTTAACTGATCGGGAGTACTACAGGATAGTTATCATGGTGGGGCTAAGATGAAACCGAAGCACTCGGCGTAACCTTCTCAAACTGGAAGGGAAATAGCAGAACTTTGGTAGACCTACAATAATAGTAAGCGCGCATACGCGGCCTGCTTCAATCAAATGGAATCGAATGACGCGGATCTAGTCATCCCCAGCCCAGGGGGTCAATGTCGACTTATCAGTGACGGCGAGATCGGAGACCAAGGCTGTGAGATGGTGACTAGGATAAGCTGGTTCGATGCGAACTTCTGGGACCGCCCAGCCTCCAGGAAGTCCCATTGCTGAACAAAGCCAGAATAGTAGGAGTTGTAAAACAGATGGGTCGTGAGAGTCATGGCTATACACTGGAGAAACAAACGCTGCAGTCCACCCTGAATGCCGAGGCTCAGCGGAAGGCGGTGGTAAGCGACTAAATCCAGCTCACCGTTCGAGAACACTCCAAAGACCCAATGCGTATAAGTGCTTACGACAAACCATGGGCAGCTTCTGGCGATACAGCAGTCCCATAGCTGGTGGGTGGCGTGAGTACGTCATTAATGAGTAAGAGCGACGGCGTCTCACCTTGTACCATAACCTTTCATGGGGTGTAGTAGGGCGTTCGTGCCACGGCATCGAGGATGACCCACAGAACTGGCGATATACGTTAGCAGCGAATGCTTCGATATTTGTTAGCCGTCCATACTGATTGACGTTTGCCAAATAGCTCAAGATCGCGGACAGAGAGGACCCAAGGGGGCTGAATGAAGATGTTCATGGCACTCCGACAATGCCGCTCATCGTCGTGATCCACTAGTTGGGACCACGATATACATTTGAAGATGGTATGATCCGGATCATCTGCATCAGAAGCAAAGGACCAAGCTTTTGTCTCAGGGTAGAGGAGATGCACGGCTCGTCGCACGGTTTCCAGCGGAAGAAGATCTATCCACGTGAACAATCTTCAAGTACGATTAGTTGACAGCAGGCAATCAAGTTCATGATTATTACCGCTTGAGGCTATCAGCCCGGGCCAGACTGATAGACGGAACTTGATAAAAAGGTGGGCAAGGCACCGTGAAGCGTTCACCCGTCTCTTTATCTTCATCTTCTTCACCAAGCGACACGCACGGAACGAAATCATCTGTCCCTAAAATCATTTTTAGACCTGGAAAAGCCATAACATGATAATTCGTACAGTCTTGACAATACTCGTTGAAGAGCGCGAGCTGAAGTGGGTGGATTGCTCTTAGTTTCCTGTATCGGCGGGGAAGAGCGTGTAAAGCGGCATCAACGCTGGGCTGATATGAGCTCAGATTGATGGACACGAGGCGTGCTTCCTGTATATAGAATCTCAGATTATCAGGAGCTCTCCAAGTCATAAGCGCAAAGTTTTAACTGTGAACGAGTCACAGAACATATGTAATATAGTATCAGGACGAGCGGGGAATTGGGTACAGGCATGCTATTAGGTATGAAACTATATAGCTGGTCTGGACCTTCCTGCGTGCCCCATATAGACGTTTGATGGTTGTCGTACGGCGTCGGCCAGACTTGAACCAGACATAAAGTATAAGGGAAGTATAAGGGAGTAGTACTTTAGTCGCCGAGAACAAGGTCAATTGTGACGAGTTTGGCATTTAGTGGCGTTAACGTGGGATGCATGGTTATCATTATGTGGGGAGTCAAATCTATACCAAAGCATGATTACGGGACAAGTGAGCAGAATACATTATCGCAAAATATTAACCTTCCAGTAATTAGTAAGTTAAACACGGACTGCGCCACCAGTAGTATCAGCATTAAAGCGGCGGTCGTATGGTATATCTATGTCGGGGATTATATTGAACTGCAATCCACTATCGCATCCCAGCTACTCGGACCATTGGCGTTACTTCGTCTCTGGTCTTTAAGACACAGTCGCAACATTTTGAAGGACTTATGCGAATAGGATTCTTGGTGGGCAGGGCCATCAACCGTATACAAGATTGCGACTTGCATGCTTTAAACAAGTCAATACGTTGCAAACGGGAAATAGTCGACAGGCACACCTGTAAGGTGGATATGTCTTGAACTGAAGAGACAATTTGGTCGCAGACAGTCCTGGAACTTCGTTGACATGGCAATGAAGTGACTACATTCGGTGTGGTATCGACCATCAATGATCTATGGAAAGAAGCAGGTCAATCCGGGGACCGGTCAACATCAGAGCACCGACGAACATTGTGACACATCTCCGGCGCGGAATGTTGGAAATGGGTAAGGGCTTTTTAGTAGTAGTCGCGGTAGAGGATTGTACTGTTGACTTGATGTCTGGTCATCAGGTGCGGGCTTCTTATGTAGAGGAAATTTGTACATCATCCTATGTCGCGTGGGGATCGCGTTCCATTCTCCGGCAACATGTGTCGTGAAATCTAAGAGAGCACCGAGAGGCCGCTAGGAGGGTGTGAATTTTAGCAGCCTTTTTACCTTTCAAAGTGAGTGCGCAACCGCCGGTCGTAGGGTCGCCGAGCTTTCCGATCACCCCTACACGCATTCTATTGAATTTACTCCACGGAGGTCCCAATTCACAACAGCGATGCAGTCACGCCACATATCTAGCCCCAGCAGCCGGCAGGTTTGTATTGAACGGTACCGAACCGATCCGCAATGAAGTACAGAAAGGCGTGCTAGTCGTGTCTTGATTCAGGATATCAGCACACGGCATGAGGGACCAATAGTTTCTGGCTTAATCGCTCGTCATGGCAGCCATGAGGTCGGAAGGGGCGGCCTCGTGTCCAGCGACGGGACTAGTCGGACAAGAATACATCGCCGCGAGTATTCCCCCTAGCTGGAAAGGGCTAGTACTAGGAGGCTCGTCTCGCGGACTATCAGATTGATTATACCTTTTCCCAGATAAAGGAGTGGGCAGAACGAGGTCCAGAATCTAGACCAAGAAAACTAAGGGCCAGAAAAAGGCGAGAATTTAGTACTTTACAAATCGCCACGCACCGAACGTCGGCTTCGGCCTTTGTTTGATGAAAGAAGAATCATTATAATACCAAAAACAGGTTGGCAAGGTATGTAATTTTGCACGCTAGCGTCCCGCGGGGAAAGAATCCGCCAGAGAAATATATGAAGACACCGGGGACACTGGTTACAAGGATAAGAGGAAGTATTGATGAGTCTTAGTAGGCTCCACGACGACGTATAGTGCTAACAAGTTGCACTTTCTTCCGCACCTGCGCAAACATGAGCACAACCCTGAGATAGCAGGGCCAAAAAAAAAATGAATACCTCGTTGGCAAACATTCTTCTCCACCTTTCACTGCTTAAACGTCTCCGCTTTACGCCCTTCTTTTCATGTCGTCTTTGCCGCGACACCTCCTGCATTACACGATTTCGTCTGAGTCGCGTTTGCAACCTCCTAAAGGCTTCACCCAAGTCTCCGTTCACAAAAACTCTTCTCCCTGGACAAGTCGAGATCAGACGTAAGCACGACCTAGAATGCTAGGGAACAAACCCGTGTACGGATCAGCTGGAGGGTTGAAAGTCGCACTCCGACTCCGTTCGGCCCATAATTCATCTGGGGTCGGCGGGCTCATTGTTTGAACTGTTCCTGCTGTGCGGTTTATGGTATCTTGGATAGCATTTGACCACATGCGGTCCTGATTTTTGGTTCTGTCGAGTAGAGCGGGTGGGTGGCGAACGTTGGAGACCATTCGTACCGGAAACCTATGCCTTTGAGAAAATACTCCTCTTGTAGCGCTGCTCAGTGCTGCAGATGTTATTCCTCGTAGCCAGGACATAGCCGCTGCAGAAGGTCGGGTCCAACAAAACGTTTGAAAGCTTGACGCTTTTCGGACTCTTTTCACCATGTTGTCCATATTTGGTTAAAACCTTTATGATCGGTAATCGGATCATTTCCTGAACACAACGATGTCCGCAGAGGTTCTTACTGAGGAGTTTGAGGTCTATTCCTCCTGTTGCAGAGCTTCGTGTTGTGCTCAATGCATGTTTAGGTACTTGAATCCATATACCCTACAGAGCTGTCCAGTTCGTCCTTACCGATCTTGACCATAAATCAGTTCACTAAGACCCTTACCAAGTTGTTTCGGACAGGGAGATCCAGATCGATGTCGAGCCTGATGAAGCGATAGATGGCGAGCATCCCCTGTGAGATTTGTCGTCAAACCTCACCATTACATAGTCCTGAAACCTTCTGAACAGTCAAACTACAGCTATCCGTCCATTACCCCGATGAATACCCTGACAGCCTGCCTCACTTGACGTTGGTAGCGATCGAGGGTGAACTCGAAGACGCTGAGCGTGAAACTCTACTGGAGAGTCTTACGGAAGTTGTGGGTGACGTCTTCAGGATGCTATGACGCACCTCATGGCGATCGATAGGGCGAAGAGAATATCGGCATGGCCATGACATTCACCCTTGTCTCTCATCTTAGAGAACAGATGGCGTCCCTCGTTCGTAAAAGGGCAGATCAACTCCTGGCTGAGGAAACAGAGAAGGAACGCGTGGCAATTGAGGTAAAGTCGGGTGTGTTATTTGGACAACAAGAAGTTCACATTACCAGGCGGAAGAAGCGAGGACTCGCGGAACCCCAGTTACAGTGGAGTCGTTTAAGGCATGGAAGATTAAATTTGCCCGCGAGATGGCGCAAAAGAAGGCAAAAGACGAAGAAGAAAGGCTACGCGCACTCTCGCCAAAAGAGAGGGAAGAATGGAAACGTGCAGCAACTCGACCTACTGGTAATTCAGAGTCTAGTGTGTATTGACGACATCTTTCTAATTTTTGATCAGGTCGCCAATTATTTGAGAAAAACAAGAACTTGGAGCACGATGATGACAGTTTCGTGGAAGAAGGCACCGTTTCTGTTGATATTAGCCAGTACGACAGGAGCCAGCTGCGCGCAGATGAAGATGAAGATGATGATGGAGTGCATTTTAGCGATAGTGATTAGAATAAATAAGAAATCTAACAGTATATCTGTTTCCTCGGATTACAACCCGGCCAGCAACCCGGCCTCTCCCTCTGTATCCACAATGATATTACTTCCGTCTAATTCTTTGCACCCTAGCCCCTCAGTGCCAACCTCTTTGAGAAAGCCGCCTTCCTGATGCAATGGTCGCCAACGTGGAGGCGAACGAACAAAGTCTTCTCCTGTTGCACGCAGCCATTCAAACACCGGGCGCTTGATCCATCGCCTGACCTGTCCCCATCCATCGTCTGGTTCAAACCATCCAAGATGCCCACCGCAGGATGTCAGGGCCATAATTACCCACCCATTACCTTCACCGTCCATTGGCACATCCTGAACCACAGGGTCATCTGCAGCGTTGATGGCTAGGAGTGGGATTTTGATTTTGTTAAGCACATTGTGGCTTGATGAATATTCGTAATAATCATTTGCTGATGCGAAGGGCCAGGGAGGCGAAGAACCACCACCAATTCTTGTGAAGTGTTCGTCGAACATGTCGATCGTGGGTTTAGTGAGGGCGATAGTCACAGCGGCAGCTTTAGCGACATCGTGATCGGAGGCAAACGTGCTAACGTGCCGCTTCAGAAGATTAACCAAATTTCGGCCCATGCCTTTCGAGTAAACATGACGTCCTATATACGTGGCCAAGAGCCTGGCCGGTGTCAGGGAACGGATCCGTAAGAAAGATGCTGAACTTACTTGGAGGCATTCGCCGCTAAATTCCAGGGCTTCCTTAATAAATGGAATTGATACCGTTCAAGCTTAAACCTGCGAAACACGTACACATCCGAGAACACATGCTGATTTCAAACGGCTACGTTCTCCTTCCTCCGCGACATACCGTGTCATAACGTTTGCTCCAAGAGAGAAAGACAGTCCCAATAAAGGAGCCTCTGGGTATCGGTGAGATATGTAGAATAAAGCTTGACGGAGATCATCTGTATGGCCAGCGGAGTAGAGCTGTGGGCTCGTGACCGGGACGCCTGCACCTGCGGGAGAATAAACATCCATGACAATGCTTGTAGGTCCATTCAGAATGGGGACTAACATCCGCGGAAATTAACCACGACTGCACGATATCCAAGTCCGCCCTGGTGGACCGGCATGCACGCGGGAGAGAGAATAGCTCTCACGTACGATTCATATGAACCTTGAGAAGGTTTACATGATTAGATTCTGGCTGTTTATCACGTAGAAGTCTTCATACCCCCTGTGAGCCCATGCAAGACGACGATGATCGGAGTGTCGGGAGGTAAATGGCTATCATCCACTGGTGTGGAGTCCAAACCCCTAATTGATATGAAGCATATAATCGAAAACAAACGCCGGAAATAAACTTACACGGTTCCGCCATCGAGCAGGCGGAGCAGGGTCCTAAGTTATCGCGTTAGAGTGCATTGTCGAACGTTCATGTGAATATCATCACCGTTTATACACCACCTTATCTCTAGCTGAAAAATCTCCGAGGACGCAATAGAGAGTCTGCATATGGCCGCTGACTTGGCATGAACAACCTGTAAACTCAATAATAATAATATTTTGGCGTACTTTGGCAACCACCATGCGGGACGGAACTCCGAATAGAGTGAGGGGCATCGTCGCTCCACGAAATCACGTAGAAAAACGCTGGTTGTGCTCGAATGTTGTTCTTTTGTGGCTACCAGAGCAGATTCTTTCGGATATCGTACTTCTGTGGTATAGCGTGCACTCCACCAATTGAAAAATGAATTCATATAAAGACTGCAAGAGAATGCGAGAATTTATAAAGATGCGGTGGGGTTGAGCAGAGTGAGCGTTGCTTGTAGAAATTTCCGGCAAGGACAGACAAGAGCAAGACTAGACAAGATGAAAATCTTGATGAGTAGTAGGTTCCGTAACTCGAGGCGATGAAACCGGAACCAGTCGATTGTGAGAAGCCGGCGCCTTTACGACCTGAGTCCTCATGCAGAGGGATCAACACGCGCGCTATTGTATTGGACATAATATCATTGCGATATAGATCATGATTTCCCAGCAGCATGACTGCAAGCTGGACCAACAAAAACTAGATCTTTAGACGCTTTAGCCACGGCAAGATGACCGATCTAGCTACATGCATCAGACAGGGAATGTTAAACACGATAATACGGAGTCGCCAGCTCAAGAGATCCTCCTGTCGTGGATGACATTGGAGATCAGATGCCCATCTGACGCGGTGAGGTGCAACGGAAGCATCGAAGAAGCTCGCAAAGCTTGAGCTTCGGACGAGTCACGCGCTCCGTCACACCCCTGGACGAGGTCCCGGCATCACACTATAAAGCTCACTTCCCCGCCCTTCTTTCTATCATTCTGCGCCTACTCTCAACCGCCACGACAGACCTTTCTCTTGCTGCCAATAGGTAGCTTTGTACCAATATTATGTCGCTCTATAAGACAATGCGCTGTCGTGTACGTACCTCTCCCCAGTTCTATCTTGATCGATCTTCCGCTGACGCGTTAGACGCGTCCGCTGGGTTGCCCGCCGTGTTCACAGTATTTTGACGAGCATGGTAAAGGTGTAAAGCCATTTTGCAACCAAGGGAGTCGTTGTCGGTACGCGTCGTGCTCTCCATCTCAACATGTACACGTCCTAAGTTGGCCATCTGCAGGTTTATTCATCCATCTGATCTCCAATGGGACAAAGGCCGCATGAACCCCGAAAAGTCTGCCTTATAAGTGATACCAAATGCGAAAAATCCAAGGCCAAACCGAAACACAAGCCAAAAGCGTCATCGACAAGTCCTTTACAACGAGGCCCTCGTTCATCGCCGCTCGTGCCGCAGTCTGACTTGTTTAGGCGAAATCATGAGGAGCTCGATAGAGAGCGCGGTCGCGACCGTGAAGTAAAACCTATTCAACGAGACCGCCGCGACAGGGACTTCGATTCTTGGGAGCGTTATGTGCGTGAGCGCGAGCGCGATCGCTCCAGGGATGTCCGCAGGTCTTCCCGGGAGAGGGTTGATGAAGAGAGGGCATCATATCATTCAAAGCGATCTAAGAAAACCGAGGGGGTCAGTATTCCATATCGGCTCTACGGACGACAGGATCTAATCTGACGGATATCAGCATGCAATCCGGTCCTCAGTTATGGACCTGGGTGACTAATCCCGAGAGCGGCACTCGCCACGGCAAAGACCGTCTAGATGCTTCTCAGATAACGCCTAGGAAATCCGTCTTTTCAATCAAAAGACGACAAAAAGAGGTCCATCAGCATCGTTGGCGAGTTCTCTAGTCGTCTTGCAAAGTAAGAGATCCTCTGTGATTCATACATGAGAATACTAAGAAGCGACAGGTTGTGCAGCCAGCTGGTTCAAGATTCGTGTCAGCTTGATAAGGAAGAAGACAAATTGAAGGCATTTACGGAGTTGTCTACCGAGCTTTCTAAAGCTGCGCCGTCGACTGCGATGGCGGTGACTCCTGCTTTGGCAGCCGTTATAACAAGTCACGCAAAATCCAAAGAGCGCGTGGCAGCGCGCGTTAGAGAACTAGATTCTCTGTGGGAGAGCCTGCTCTCAAATGTTGTGACGACCATTGTCAAAACGACAGATATCAACTTGGAGCGCGCCATCGCATTGTTGCATAAAGAAACGGATGCGGCTTTGCAGCCATATTTTCGATCTCACAGTCCGCTCTTGCTCAAACGGAAGGCACATGACCAATCCTGGGGGGAGCTGGGCGAGCTATTAGAGTTGAAGGACACTTCAGTCGGCGATGATAGAGAGAATGGAGCAACTGCTGCTGAACATGGGTCCAAAGCATTATCGCGATCGCCAGATTTGAAACGTCGTCGGATGGAATTATCTTCGCCGACAGCGTTTCCTGTGAAGGAGGAAAACGTTGACTATAGAGGTTTGCTGGAGACGATGAAATCGTCCTTGGCTATGCAGACGCGCACACTGGAACTGCTTGCCAAGGAAAAAACAACTGGTGGGTGGCGTCATTGGCCTGGACAGGGAATATTAATACGAGTGCAGCTGAAACAAACTTCTCAGGACGGCTCACATGAGGCAGATTATCGTGTGGCATCGATACATCTGCCCGTCGGAATTCTTCTGCTGAACGACGTACCACCGCGATGGAGGTGGAGGCACTACCTTGACGAAAGCCCTCGGCCTAGACAAAGGACTCCCATCACACGTGTAACACAAGACGCCCATTTGCATCCTTTCGCATAGATCTGTGGATTGTAAGTTCAGCATGCAGCATCGTTCCGTGATCCCGCCTGCAGCAACGTTTTAGTGGTGTGGCCCATGTACCCCGTATTATTTTTGCTCAGCTTGGCGTTTGCCTTGTCCTGTATCCTTAGAAATTGAAGGCACCGTAATATGCATGTCATGTTTTTTTAGATGAAAAACGCCTTTGAGTAGCTTTGTGTGCGACCTTTGAAATTTTGAAAGTGATGGTGATATGGTGAGGTTGCACGAGTCACGTGTGACGCGTACATGGGCAACGTTTGTGTTGGTTGTGCATGTCGTGAACAGCCAACAGCCTGGCAACCTTGGTTGATTATCATTCAGCTATATTCAAGGCCTTGAACGATTTTTATTTTTCCGCCGTACTGAATGTCTTACGGCTCTCCGTTTAACGTTCATAGATATTGCAACAATCGTGGACAATTTGATGAATACCGACAACACCAACTCCCCTACTTCCACTGACAGTGATGCTGTCAATTGCTCAACTGCGAGAGTCTACTTCGGTCCAGTGCAATCACCGGAGAAGAGACTCATCGCTAGCGAGGTCACGCGAAGACGTACACTCAATATTGATACCGTCGACTCTCTCCTTCGTCCATCGGGACTGCCTGCTCTCCTCGCCCCTCCATCGCCACAGGAAACCACGCGCGCACCGGATGAAGGTGACGAACGAAGCGACGAAGATGCAGATGAGATCTTTGATGTGGCTGCTCACCTATCTCGTGAAGACACGCCTGAGAATGATTCCTTGAGCCAGAACGGTGAGCTCTGTTCGTCTGCTCTTCGCAGCTAAATTCCAAACATGGACTTCCAGAACCATCCTCTGTTCTTGCAAGTCGAATTATGCGGGCTTGCGATAATCCTTCCCCTCCTCCGCGGGCCCATCCCACCATTTACTTTGGTCTTGTGACGAGGGATGGACGCACACCATTTCCAGATATATCTGCACCCCCTAGTCCGTTTCGCCCCATAAATTTGCGTGAGAGACTGAGCCAGCTCTCCGCGACAGAACGTGCTTTGTCACCTGAACCACCTCAGCGTCAGGCTTTCTATGATCAGAATCCGCCTCCACAGGATTCTGCTGGTAACATCTCTCAGCCCGATCTCATCTCATTTGAATCTTGCTCCACTCTAGTCAAGACTGCGGAACCTTCTGCAGAAGGATGTCCCCGTGGCTCTCCAATCCAAACTTTATCTTCCAGTGTAGATGATCTCCCCTCGCAATCCCCAGAGCATCCTTCTGTCATACCTACCCCTCCTCGTGTAAACGGCTCAGAACAGTCTAGTTCCCTGGACAGCCCAGATAAGCTTCCTCAGGGGTGTGCACAGGCTGACGCGGAGTCTAGACCGCCATACCCCAGTTTTCCTTCGCCGTCAGTCGCCACCTCCGGCACACCGGATATTTCTAAGGAACATGCAAGATCACCCGTGCGACGATCAGCACGCCTTAGTGGGACTCCACGCCCCAACCAAACGACCCACGTACAGCAACCTTCGGAAACACCGAAAATCAAAGGAAAATCAAAGGCGACAACGCTTGCGCCCGAGGGGGAAATTCCCCTGATGCGGGATGACCAAACTGTTGATCACGGCGACGCAGATCCTTACCCTGATATTCAAAGATTGGTAGAAGAAAAAGAGAGACGACGATCACGAAGACGGGGATTAAACGGGAAACACGACACCCCCAATTTGCAAAGAGAATTGGGGTCCCTTTCTCCTCAGTCCGCGGATGTCTTAACGCGTTTGTTGCCGTCCGAGCGATCTACGCCACTCCAAGAGGGACAGTATTCGCTACCACAACGTGAACTTTCTTTCGTATCTTTGGACCCTTCACTGTTGACACCACAGAGGCCAAAGTCAAATTCTCAGCAGCCAAATTCTCCCTCTGGTCACTGTACTGCGGCCACTTGTCGTTGCTCCGACGCCTATTCGTCCGAATGGGAGTCTAGGTTCTTCCTCTCATCTTAAGTTTTCCTTGACCGTCGACGATGCGTCTCGCACACCAGCGAGGAGGGTGCCCATTCAAGATGCCTTCGTGCAGGGCTCTGCATCCTCACAAAACACAATGCTATTGTCTGCGAAACGGGATGCGTCGACACGGTTTATGGGCATGCGTGGACCCGTCTTTTCGCGCCCTGCGTTGGACGATCCATCCCGTAGCCCCGCTAAGCGTATCCTAATCACAGATCTTAACAGTCCTGTGCGCTCACCAACTCGACCAGCAGGTGCGAGGGCCCGAAGTACCTCAACGGAACCGAAACCCATTGTCTTTCAGCCTCTACGAAGTCATTCTGTTGATCCATCACCCGGTGCCGCTGACAGCAAAGGCAAAGAGCCTGTATTCCCTAAATTTTCTTCCAAGCCGAAATCTGGCATCAAATTGCCGTTCCCTCTTGTGGCTGGGCAGAAGGCAGGGACGGATCTCCCGCACTTCTATCCCTGAAGAGGCGGAAGGATCTGAGGCTGTTGGAGAACATTTGGTTGCTAACCAGGCCGCGTCGTCGTCCAGTCCTGTGAAGTCTGGCTTGAAACAGCCCTCTGTTGGTAGTCGCATACCACGAATTGGCGCCAAGCCTTATGCTAGACCACAGCCAAAGAAACCGATTTTATCTACAGCTACGAAGTTGCCTGCCTTTGGTACTGGACCGGTAAGCCCTTCAGATGGGCTTGTTGTTGGATTGCACTAACGTGGACTGTACTCATCAGCGTGCCCCACTTTTCAAATCAGTTCCCGCTGGCAATGGCAACAGCAGTTCCGAAGAGTCGTCTGCCATCGCCCCGCCACCAAACCGAAAATTTGATGGGAAATTTGTAGCAGAGCCATCAGTGCTCTCGACACTGAAGCGAAAGCGTGGCACAGAAGAGACTGTCTTATCTCCCCCTACTCACCCTGTGATGGTCCGTCAGGTTGTCCCCGGAATGCTTGGGGGCAAGTATGCCCCCAAAGCAACACCTGAAACCCTACCAACGGCTCCTCTACCAGAACCGAGCCCTCGGAAGCCGCCTGGCCCTATGAAGTTCCGCAAAGTTGAGCCCGGAGTCATATCAGCACGTTATGCAGCACCCTCCAAACCGACTGCATCTGACTCTCCAGTTGCCGATGACCGCAGCAGCAGCCCGCAGATCCTGATTGTGTCTGAGGCACCAATCACCCGATCATCTTCACCTCCCAATTCCACCTCCTCGCCTGTTCTACCAGAACCTGAACCCGCAAAGCCATCACATGATGTTGTTGAGCCCAAAGAAACAGCGGAAACATCTTCATATCGGCCACCAGAGAACCGAGGTCGGGGCCGTCGAACGTCTCGACGCAAGCATGCAGCGCAGCATGCCAGCGACGTTTTTGGTCCCTCCACATCAACGCAACCTCTCCAGCTTCGACGTTCACGGCGCTCTGAGGGCGACGGCTTCATGGGGATGAGCGCAGTTGCCCTCCAAGCTCTCACTACTTCCAACACCACAAAGAACCAGGAAATTTTCGCGAAGCTAGAAAGAGAGGTAATCCGCAAGGAGGGCACAAGGCCAGAGAGCCCCGCAATCAAGTTCGGACGATATCACAAAAGCAGAGAGAGATGAGGGATCGCCAACGACTTGAACGAGCTGAGCGGAGGGCGAGGCGGAGTGAAGACGGGCCTGGATCGAGTGATTGTGAAGGTGCTAGCGAACTAGGTGATCAATTCGTCCTCGGATTTGATAAGGAGCATGATGAAAATGATGGGGTGGTCTGGATAAAGCATCGTAGGGGACCAGGAGAAGTGGAGGATTATGAGACGCCAGTTAGGTCTGACCAGCTGGCCAAACGTTTACGATTTGGGGAAGGTCCCCAGCAGGAGGAGGAAAGAGAGCGCAAACGGGTGAAGTGGCACCATGGGTTATCCACGGAAATTTATCTGGATGAGATCCATCCTCGACCTAACTCGTGGACCAAGGACTTTGTCGTCGAGAAAGGCTGCTTAGCTCCGACGTCCAAGGTAAGTGGCTTGCGGGAATTTTTGTACTACAGTTCTTGCTCATATTCCTTCAGAATCTTCGCTTAGACACACTGGGCAACGTGCTGGATGTTGAGCAGCATCCACTCACTGACCTTCACCCAGAGAACATCGTGGTGAAGAAGTTTGTGTATGACAACGACATTGAAGTGGTGGTGAAAGAGGTTATACCCCCGAAAATCACCAGATCGAGGAGCAAGAAAATGAAGAGTTAGCCCGGCTGCATATTCTATCCACACTCTAATGCACATTTTTCGATGCTGTCGTTACTGGATTCTTAATGTCTCTGACACATTGTGTCGTTTGCTTCCATCGATGTGTAGGGAATGTCTATGATACAATGACTTCCAGTAGTCAAATCAGAGTTGAGATGTTACAACTTCGGCGCCCTGTAGTTGAGAGTGGCACTGGCTTGGTTCACTGGAAGCACAAAGACTTCAGCGAGATTGACATGTGGGGGGCGCGATGCAGCCCAGACGATCTCTTCCGCAATGTCTTCAGCCACCACTTTGTGATATGTGAGTATATGCGGGTTACAGGGTTATTAAACCACTTACGAGGCTGAAGTCCCTCATAGACTTTGTCTGCCGCGGACTTGTCGCCTTTGAAACGGATGACCGAGAACTCGGTCTCCACCATACCTACCAACAACTTCAGTTTAGTCATAGTTGTGATAGTGATCCATTTACCTGGTTGGATTTCGGTGACACGAATGGGAGTGTCGACAAGCTCCTTCATGAGAGAGCCCGTAAATGCACTAACGGCATGTTTGGTTGCACAGTAGATGCTACCCCCAGGGTAGGCTTCTCTTCCGGCGATCGAGCCAAGGTTAATAACATGACCAGACTTCCTCTTCTTGAATTCTACGAGGCTGAGTGAAAGTTATGACCAAAGGCAGAAATACGCACCCTTGATGAACAACTGGGTTAGGGCGATCAAGCCAAACACATTGGTTGCGAACATGCTCTCCATGTTATCCAGAGACAGGTCGCCAACTTTGTCCACGCCCACGACGTATCCAGCATTATTAACTGCAACCGAGTCTATGTGTAAGAAATTGAACGCCATAACGGATGAATCTACTCACCGAGGATATCTATCTCGCGAAGATCGGCGGGTATCCTCTCTAGGAAGCCATTGATTTGACTCCTGTCAGAAACGTCGATTTGTATGGTGACAAATTTGCCGCCATGTTGCAGGCCGGCCTCTTTGTGGGCAGCTGTACATTCATCTGCAACTTTCTGTAGTGCATCCGCTCGTCGAGCGGTAAGTATGACGTTGGATCCTCCCTAAGAGATATGAATGGTTAGAAATATGGCATGTAATGGCAGACTACCTTGGCAAACAAGACGGCAGTGGCCTGCGAGCAGATCAGATCAGTATTGGTGTCTCTCCTGAGAGCTAGGCTTATACACACCGCGCCGATACCAGAACTTGCTCCCGTGATAAGGACTGTCTTGCCAAGAAGGCGAGATGCGTTGAAGACGGTCATGTTTCGAGTAAGAAATTGCAAAAAGGTTGGGTGAACGAGTGCTCTACGATGGATATCCGATCGTCGAATGCAATAGATAGACGAAGAACCAATAAATCTCCAAGACATGCTATCGCGGGGCCGGAATTTCCATCATGAACGGTCCGAAGATAGACGCGGAGAGCCGCATACATGCATCTTTTCTTCAGTCCCATGACCTTGCCGCATGGCACATGCTGGGAATAACATCAACGTTTCCATAATGGCGAACATCTCAAACGCACAATCGTCGCTGAATTGTCGATGGTCCAAGCTGTTGGCATGGTTGAAGACGCAAGGAATGAAAACAGGAGCAGACGACTTGCTTGTCGAGTGCAAAGAAACACCCAGTTGAGTCACCAGCCGATTTACCTCATTCATCGGACGACCACCGCTTGATCTAACATCCGTCTGGACACGCAGCTGCTGGGAATGGTCTTTTTGCTCGAACGTCGTGTACTGTGAGCTTTCATGTGAATGGATTGGATTGAACCATGCTCTGATAAACAGGACAGCCATCTTCCTTGCTATTTGCAGTGCCGCCTCAGGCATTGATGAATATCAAGACATTAAAGTCTCTCTATCCAACGTCCGGACCTACGCCACTAACCGCTACGCAAATGATATCTCTGCACCTGTATATTAACCGCCCGCATGGAAGTGAGGATTCGCTAGACCCTCACTATGGACCCTACATCTCGACACTGCCTAGGGAGTTTGACAGTCATCCTTTGACCTGGATTGTTCGATCGAAAAGTGGCACGGAGTCTGGAGGAGTCCTACTGCTGAGGTACCTCCCGCCGAGCGTGCATGCATCCTTGGTTAAGCTGCATGACCGATTTTGTCAAGACCGGGCTGTAGTCCGAGAGTACTTGGTGGGAAATACTCAATACTGCATTCAGTTTCATCATCTAAAGCGATAGCAGACTGCGAATTCGTACATCTCTTCAAAATATGATACCCATTTGGCCAATATCGATGATTCTAGTGCCAGCAATTACGTGTGGGCTTGGTTGAACGGCACGTATTTTCTGTATGCATGAAACTCCCTCATCTACCTCGCCTCCAGTCAACACGCGCTGTATATATTACCGGCTCAAAGCATCGAAGGAGGACCCCGATAATCTAACTTTATGTCCCATCCTCGACTTTGCCAATCATTCTCCGAATGGCTCGCATATGACTCCAGCCCCATCAGATGCCGATATTTGGGACACTGCGCCGGTAAAGCCGATTGGGAGAGGATTCAGATTCCTTTCGCCAGCGGATGTATCTGTTCAAGAGGGCAAAGAGATCTTTTTGGCTTACGGGGCTCATCCTAATCGCACGCTGTTCGTTGAATATGGTTTTGTCAACAAGTTATTAGGCGAAGTCGAAATTACGGATGGTGAAGTGGACGTGCAAGATGTGGTGGAATCCTTAATACTCGACCACAAATCCGGTGTCTTCGTCAAAAGCGTCCTCGAAGACGAAGGTTATTGGGGGTGCGTGCGTCTTGAACTCTTGGTCAATCGAGTCGCCTCATTGAGTCACCGTAGAGATTGGACCCTATATTGCTCGGGGGAATCAGCGCAGCCGTCATGGCGCCTGATTACGGCATTAAGACTTTATTGTCTCTTTGTCTCAAATAATACAATCCAGCATAACGCCATTCAACCGTGGCGTGACGTCATAGCAGGCAAACGAGAGATAATATCTGATGGAAACGAACTCGCTTGGAAGGAGTTGTTAATCACGATTTGCGATGTAATTGTCCCCAAAGCCCAGGCCAGTCTAGACAGTCTCAAGAGCGACAGCGCTGAATTTGGTCACGGATGGCTTCCCTGGATGCGCGAAATATACGGACGCTTTGGAGGGAAGAATTATTGGTAGCCGCGGCTGTCAAACAGCGTGCACTAAGAGGGGACAATTTTTGACTTGATAACACTGGCCCGGAAATTAACCTAGTGATACTGCAGAGAGCGATGCATCTTGCTTTCGCCTGAGGATATCATAATCCATCCAGATGTACTATCGGAGACCATTCATGTGGCATTCGGATACTTCGCGACATCCTATCTCATTAGACGTTTGAACAGCCAACCCAGCCACAAAGCATGATATTGTATGTCATGCACTACTACGAAGTTGGATCGCCAAAGCTGGTAGGACAAACAGAGGTTCAGAGAACATGGAATGCTAACTTACTTCCTGGTAACACTGACTGTTGACTGAACGGTAGTACAGCGACAAATGCTGCTTGATGACACTCTTCAACTTTTACCGATATGCCCTCCGAGATCATAACTGGGTCCATTAAGTCGCTGAATTCTGCAATGTCGTCTCAAGGAATGCCAGTCGTGTGAGATCGTGTTGCACAATTAGTACTTGCTTATCACTTAGCGAGAGCCACACACTTGATGCATGATGGTCAGTGTTGACATTCAACTGAGCTTCCAAGACTGAGGATATCCGAGAAGGTTGTGAAGTTAAGTAATAGTACGCCCTGATCACATGTCGAGGCGGGCGTAGTGTGGAGGTGACGTCTGAATATGTTACTTCCGATGCGCTTTGTCATTCGATTGCAACGCGGGGTCGAATTTCAGTAATGGACGACTCGGACTCAAACCTGTTCATTCACAACCAATCGGTTATAGCTTAAACTGCGCTCAGTGCATACCTGTGCATACAAAGTCGAGCATGAGACACTGGATAACCGACATGTATGTACAATTGGGCAATGACAAGCTAAGCTCGGTAAATTTGGACATACAGTGTGACACAGGAAGGAAGACACAGCCACACTGGGAACTTGATTTTGGCAACCTCAGAGTCACAGCCGAACAAACGTTCGACATCGTCGGAATCAGCCCTCACCAATTTCTCTTATTCTTCCGACATAAGGCTTACGGGTCTGCTTCACCATGGCTGTCGAACCGGTATTTGGGACGAGAGCTCAAAAGGCTTTCATCATCACAAGTACGTTTTCATTCCATTATTCCGCGATATCGCCACTCAAGAACCTTTGCCACAGTCGCAGTCCGTCAGTCGTTTCGTTGAAGCTTCTTGATCCAAGTTTGACCTAGGTACATATAGAGGCTATTGTGGTAGTAACTATGGTCGCATTGACATTCGGAATAGTGAGTTTGTGTCGTGCCGGTAGTTGAATTGATATGTCTACTAACCAGTTGACCTCAAGGTTCAAGCCGATGTAGGGACGGCCTTTACAGAACTTGGGTACAAGGTGCTTTTCTACATGCATCATTAACAAGCTAAACTGCTCACAGCATGAAGACATTGCCATGCTACTTGGCTCTTTTTATTCTAGCAGAGTATGTAGCTACCCTCACAACCACCCCCAAGCTATTGACAATAGTGCAGGATATTCGAGTTAGTAATGGCATTTGATGCTCTACGATTACGGAACATTATACAGCTCCTGGGGATCATTCGTGAGTGTCAATTTGTCTGAAGATTCTTCCTCCTTTCTGAATACTTTGCAGTCTTTCATGGAGCTCTCATCGTCTTTTCCGCCCTTCAATTTCATGAAACCAACGTCGCTATATTTAATTGCGAGTTTTGCATTCCAGATGCCAATCAGCTATGGAATAGAGTCCAACCGTTCCTAATTGTCGCTCCCTGCATAGTTGCTGCGTCGTGGTTCTTTTTGGTGTTCTGGATCAAGCAGCTGTATGCTGAGTTTGGGTACGGTCTCACAGCTTATTGCATGTCCTGTTCATTACTTAGATCTTGCAGATGGGTTATCTTCCATGTCGTGGGGGCAAACCCGAAATTCAAGTGTGAGCTCTGTGTTCAGTTTTTCTTGATGATGTGGCGCTGACTCGAAATAGCGATGTATCAATTCTATCAAATCTTCCTATGCTTACTTAAATTCGACTTCTTCTGTTTCGTGGGGGTGACTATGCAGGTGAAAATCATGGCCCTTGAAGATTGTCCAGGGACTGAAAATCCACAGCTTCTCATCGTTGTTCTCAACAAGGATTCCGCTGAATTTGGTGTCACAATCGCTGCAATTCCTGTCGTTTTGTTGCTTTTGGCTGGTTGCGCACGTGCTGTCAAGCACGAAGTTAAGTTGTATGATGGTTCCAGCGTCCACTTCGCGTGATTATCTGAATTGTCCGTTAGGCTGATGGCCTTTTCCCTCGCATTGATGCTACCTGCGATGTCCTATTGTGAGGTGTTTCCTCTTAATGCATTGACCAGCAACTGATATCATGATTTAGTCTGTATGTGTATAACATGTGTTAACTGTCTCGCGAGTTGACACGTCTCTTAGTGTACAAACTCGATCGCTTCTATGCGCCTTCCACCGAGGGCCAGTACGTTTCAACTCGCGCCACATTGACTGTCTTCAGTAAGTCACGTACACCGTGATCTGTTTCATCATGACACTAAACCACATCCGGCTGCTATATTTAGCCGTCGTCGCCTTCCTGCTCCTCTCAGCCACGCTCGCGATCGGAATCAAGTGCTTCCGTGACTTTGACAAGGGACTTTACGATTCCAAGGCGCATGGTCAGTCTTACACCCCTGTCAAGATGCAGGTTATGGACGTGTTTAGAATGAGTAATTAACTTTTTTATTAGACCTCAACAGGAACTCACAGTACTTACCTACCCCGAAAACCCCAGGGGACAAGTCGGAGCAACAGTCACCATATTCCGCAGTCGGCGTTCCTCTTCAGCCACAGATATCCATCGAGTAATACACGTCTCATACTTAGCATGAACTTCACAATGACTCGGGGACTACAATCAAGAGGATATGGACAAGGTGCATATGTAAAGATCTATTCTTCAGCTGTTGGAAGTGGAGAGGATCTCTTTTGTCTTATTTAGCGTTCTACAGCTTGCGTAATTCCTGTTAGCTATTACTATTATACCCTTTAAGTATGACGCCAATCAGAAGGGGGACAGAAAACTGGAACTCCAAACACTACCGAATTCCCACCTGCCAAAGTTCAAAGTATCAAAGAAATCAGTTGAAACGTTTTTCATTCTTCAGTGCTTCGACAACGACGGGGGCTTTCGGGCGTAGCCTTGGATCGTGATGCCAACATCCTTCAATAAGTCTTACGATGGGTTCTCCCAATCCATGGAGCGAGGGTCTCCTTCGTTCCGTCAGGGAATCGATTATATTCACTCCATAGTACGGGATACCTCCGGTATAAATCCAAAGTGAGGTGAAGTAAGGAGTAATGGCTTGAATAGGACAAAACCACTTGCCTCGTATAACACACAAGCAAATGCATACATGTCGGTTTCCAGCGTCACGCGCATAGTTTCCGAAATTCCAAAGAAGATAAGTTCTGGGGAAGCGTTTCTCGGCGGCCGACATCGGTAGAGTCCAATCCTTGGCGTGTATCATCAGATCTCGAGATTCCGAAGTCGGTCAGGCAAGCATTCCCTCTTTGTCGACCAAGACATTGAACTATATGAAATAAGCCTGTGAACCTTTCTGACATGAAGAATTCTCACTCCCTTGAGATCACCATGGATGATGGGCGGATCGAGAGCATGCAGATAGCAAAGACCTTTTGCAGCTCCTTCCGCCTGGATAGAGAACCTCCAATCGATGCGTGTTGCTGGTAACGGGTAAGATAACTTACCAGATGACGAAGATCGCAGTTCCCCCTGCCCGTATACTCGATGTACGTTCTCACATTACCACTGTACATGAATTTCGAAACGAGCCACAACCTACAGTCTTTGTCTATGACGCCTATGAATGGCACGATATTCTCGTGTTTCAAGTGACTCCAAATCACTGCCTCGCTCACAAAGTCCTAAACATACGGACAAGTGAGTAAGGGGTAGAACGACGGATGATAAGCTGCTCACTTTGCGACTCTGGGATATGGATGGCAGGTGCGATCGCTTGATAGCAACAGCTTGATCGTTATAAGACGCTGTAAAGATAGTTGCGGATCCGCCCTGCTCAACAACACGCATCGAGGTCGGTTCTAATCCGTCTAACCGCAGTTGACATGGCAAACAACCAGATTTTCGTGTTAGTCGAATGATATATCTCAAAAGCCGTGCGTGCGTGGCATGATCTGTGGAAGGATCTCGCAGGATCTGGACGTCTGAGGTTAACCACATAAAAAGGCCAGAGATATGAGTATACCTCTTCAAGTAGATCGACCATATCTTGTGCTTTGTTGTGTGCGAGGCCATAAAACTCATTTTCATAATCTCTTCCGCACAAGACCAGAAGGACGCGAAGGAATGCCTCATCATCGCAGGGAACAATACGTCTTGGTGAAAATTTGACTGATACATGCGTAGGGCACGGATCTCTTTCCTGTCGGGAAGATGTGAGAACAGGTGACCGATGGCCGAAAATCGAGGCTTACACTACGATCCAAAAGGCTCTTCAAAGTATCCCTGATAGTACGATAAATGGTTAGTGTCATGAGGTCATCGTAATGCCAGCTTCTCCACTCTGCAATTTGCTGTTTTAGTTCGTTCAGAAGCCTAGAGCGTGTCAATTGTATGGATTGGACACGAGTCACTGATTGCCCTACCATCCATTGGTCGTGCGACGTTTCAGGTGTGCGTAAGTGTATACCATCAGATTCTGAAACACCATGAACTTCTTTAGGATGTGCACAAAAGAATGGAAGCACTTGATAGACTTTGACATCTTTGACGTATTCGCGACATATTTGCCTGTCTTCCATCGCGAGCTCGCTGGATTTCTCGATTTTCCGAAGGAGCTTGTCACGCAATTGCCCGAGCTCTCGTCGCCATGTGTCCGAATCTGATGGATCACTTAGGAAGCCCGGTACGATGAGGAGTAGAATGAAAGCCTGAGGGACGGCTGGATGTGCAACCGGCTGCGGAAGACGACATTAGGGCATATAGCGATCGGGTCATTATGTACACTAACTGGGAGGTAAGGGTTCTGCAACTGTGACGTACGAGTATTATGTGGGTCCAGTTGATGAGATGGATGTGCATGCATGAGGATTGGGCGTAGGTGTTATCGTCCTGTTTCGGCATTGGGTTTGATGAACTATCATCAGCTCCTGTGGAACACGAGTCCTGCACCGATGACATCCGATCTTCATGATGGCCTTAATGGCAGGGGCGTGGAATGGAAGAAAATATTGGCAGACGATTCACGAGTCGAGCCTTTTATATATGAACTATCACAGATTAGGGACAAGTATTGGTACGAGGAGGGCCCTGTCAATGATTACACATTCTGTGCAACCAAATGCACCAGTGTACGATCAATCAAGCGAGTGTTGGGTCGCGGAGGCCGTATGAAATATAAACGTGTTTAGACGCCCTCAGGCTAGCGACCTTGTTGTTGTGATCTACAATGCGGCTGAGCACCCAAAGAAAACAAAAAGCCATGAGAATCAACGCACACCGGCGACAGTAGAGTCATACATGTTGATCCAAGAACAAGGTGTCTATTCTCTACACAACCACAGAAGTTCAATGCTACCGGCTGAAATAGGCGCTAAGCAATATCGACTTTCGGTGGGAGATCCGACCTTCATGGAGACGATATATGACTGATCAGCTTCCAATGTTGGTATTAGTCGAAGCGAGTAGTTAGAAGGTCGGGTAGAACTTATATCTATGATCGTTCTATCATGTTGCCGTACATGAGCGCGCGCGAGCAACTGTACTATTGAGAGATACTACTTACGATGAAGCACATGTACAGCAAGCCAAAACCACAACAATAATTGGCCTGGGGCTTAGCGCTGATGCTCGAACACGTATAGGCTTCGGATATATGAAATTACAATATCCGCTGAGGACCATGCTCGTTCCCAGTGTCCCGTGCATAAAGCATTAGTGCTATAGAGTAGCACAAAAACACCAAGTCAACGTACTTCAGCGATAAATCAACAATCCTAGAGCACCATACCCAGCATCCTCGACAAGAAATGGCAGAAGCAGCAGCCCAAGACCCGTGTGTGCGTTTGGAAATTACGAAGGACTCATAATGGCAATCGCATTCTTCCCTGATAGACAATGTATGAGGACAGGCTCTGCGGACGTGTATCATCTGATATTTGGAGGACTAATAATATTGTGTTGGTGCGCACTGTGGGTTAGTGGCTGTATCACGAGACCGGAGATGCGGTGATATCAACGGAGAGTTCATCGCACAGCACGGATACGCCAGCTAATATCTGAAGCAAAGCATCAGAGCCTTCCAGAGAAGCATCAAATCGATGGACGTTTCTCCGGATAGCACAGTGCTAGCAACTAGCTGAACTGGACATATCAACGAAGCTGTGGAGCACGAAAGCGTGACGACTGAGAGGGATTCCAACATGTAGAAGGCATGCAGGTTTTCGTACTTCACAGGATAGAAGGTATGACTTTCTTGACTATGTTCAGTAGCTAGATGGAGGACAGAGATAAGAAGTGATAACATTGAAACGTTGAGGCCTTAAGGGCGTGAGAGCTAGCAAATTTCATGATCCCACGGTGACGCCCAGGGCAGCTCCTATACCGTTGCCGTGAACTCGACAAGACTGCGAGTCCGGTTCGGAGCGTGAGGCCTTGAGGTGGCAAGGAGTGCATGCTCGTCGCCTTATTCGTGGCACCCTTATCACCTCCGCATCTCAAGACAGCCTCTGAAGGCTCTCAGGTTGACAAATAGTCGTTATATTCACTGCTGCATCATGCTTTAAATTGTGTCCTCACAATATTTTTGTTTTAGAATTAGAGCACTCCCTGTTTTGCGTACCGCAGGTTGCATCTTATAGCATTCTACAGAGGCCAGGCAAAGGCATCGCGAAGAGCAGTAGAGATTTCCACACCATTCGGAACGGATTCCTCATACGATTCCTTCTTTGCACACCGCAGTGAGCTGAAGTTGGGCCAAAAGTTCTATGCGGAGGCCCTTTCGGGCGCGGACAAGGTGTGGATGATATCCATCATTGATTTGAAAGATGTGATGATATTTGCAAGTCATCGAGCTCAACCCTTCGTCTTATTTCGGGTACGAACTGAAGCATGCAGCGCTTCGTGAAGCACAGCGCTATGATTATGCATTCTAGGCCTTCAAGATAATGCTCTCCAAGTTGGATGATGTACCCGATCCACGAATACGACGTAAGCCCCAAACAACGTAAGCGCCGACTTGAAGATGACTTACATTTTTTGTAGAGCTACGCCAGCGATACGCCAGCCCGTCTGAAGTAGAAGATGCTATTCGACGAGCTATTCACGCCCAACTGGAAAACGCTCCACTTCGTCTAATCAACACCTCTACTGGACGTTTGTGCAATCGAGATGCGCAGATAAATATTATTAAACGCATTCACGGAGAGTACAGAGCACAAAGAGCCTTTGCATTCATTGGTGATGCAGGAACCATGGAGCCGGGGCTGCACGACATTCAGGACAAGATCATATACGACTCGGATCCTGTCGGAACCGTTGTGAAATTTCACTGTTGCAGAAGTTCTGCAAAGTCGCTCGCGATGCGGGGTATTGCTGGGCGTGGAGCGATACATGCTGCATCGATCAGTATAAGCTCCAAGAATCAGTCAACTCCATGTTCGTCTGATATCACTGCTTAGCGCTCACCATCGTCTACCTATCGGATGTCTCGCCTTCGGCAAAGTCGGGCGCGCTCGCAAACAGCATTCGGAATACCCGAGGATAGACTGTTCCGGAGTTCCTCGCTCCTAAAATTGTTCTATTCTACCAAGCAGATTAGACCCTATATCGACGACCGCTCACGCAGCCACAAGCAATCTATCAGTATCATGGGGGGGTTGTAGCATTCAACTGACATAAATGCACGGGCGCTCGTCGACTTCCGTCCAGGGACAAGAGATGCCCGAGAGCAACTCCGATGTGCGTCAAACCGTGACACCAAGAAGGAGGGAGACATCGCCTATTCTTTGTTTAGCATCTTACAAAAGGTGCTCGGACGACTCTTGCAATATAATATCACTCATTTGGGAGAGAATCACTTCGAATGAGATCATTGTGAGTTAGAGACATCGCCTCTGTTGTTGATGTGATGGGCATGACATCAGGACATCGGAGATGTTCAATAGCTGGGGCCAAGAACGGGAATCTCTGACGCATCTTCATGCCACTTAGGCCATCTGACCCTCCGAGTGCGCGAGCATCTGCTCAATCAGGGAGTTCATGCAAACCGTGCATGACTTTTCAAACGAACGGTGTGTTTATTTCATTTATGCAATGAAATTCTCGGAGTTCATGTCTTTCGCTGAGTTCGATTAGAATCGGAACAAGGGCCATCGCGAGATTTGACATCTCCGTCACTTTCCTCGTTCTTCGAGGATGGATAACCTGCACTGCTATGAGGCTTCCCTCAGAACTTGTGACTTGTAGACGAGCGCCCTCACGACTTGCTCACGGACTTAACTGACGCTACCATGCCGCACTCGGTTACGGTTACATGCGTTTAGTCATGAAGCCTGTGCCGAGTCCGAATCAATCATTATCAGTGGACTGGTGAACAGATGAGAATAGTATTTGAAGTAATATATTATCGAGTATCACAACAATCTACGTAAATCTGCCACCCACTTCCACATGGAAATGTGTAGTATTGTCGAGGAAAGATCAATGTGTGATGATACCAACCTGGTACTATTATGTGCTTGAGACGTTCCCACTTAGATGGATCTAAGAAAAAAATGAATGGGTGGAGGTTCACGAATTTAAAGATGTCCCAAGTTTAAGAGCGAAAAGGAAGAGATAACCTCAGAATAACATCTTAATTTTGAGGTAAAAAGAAAACAGTAAACCACGTTGAGGAGGTGCGCTACCATACCATGCGTGTTGCAATAACACCGTGTCACGACTTTGTGGAATTTAATAGCGTTATACATTAGTTGGGCAGTGCCTTGGAAGGCTACTTCTCACGCGAGAATGTCTCGAATAAGGTCGTAATTCAACATATAAATAAGGCAAATGGTGTAAACTCCTCTCATCCTGTCAGTATGCCTTGCGTTCGCACAGCGATGGGTACGTTTATTTCTTTTTCGTTAGTAATACTACGATTGACGTTCTAGTTGTAGGCAAGAGTCAACCTCTCAAGTTCTATTTTTTTGACCCATCGAGAGGTCGTTGTCCTAAACGACGCCGCGCCCAGGCCACTCTTAAGCTCGACGGCTTTGTCTACCACAGTTTCGACGGCCCCGCTAAAAGTGAGCGTCATTTTTCATTCTAGATTGCAAGCTTCTACAACGACGTCCGTAATTTCTTTGCAGGCCCGGCCGCTGTCAATGATACGGCAATAGTGGAGTCCACTTCAACCGATGCCCAAGACAAGCCTGCGACCGAGGGAGATCACTCTGGCTCTCACAGCAACTCGGAAATTGTGGGGGTTAGGTCAGACCCATTGAGAAGTCTCGTCGTGGATCGTGTCTGGCATGTCGATCCCAGGTCAGCGGATACCGTCGCCGCCGCTCAGGCTCTGCTGCTGCTCCAACGACAGTCGGGTCCAAGTAGGACCATGAATCAGATTTGATGGACTTTATAAACTGGCCGGAGGATCATATATGGCTATTTCTTTCATTCGACGCATTGTAACAAGCTCGTCGCACATTTGGCATGACATTCTTTTTCAAGTTTTTACTCATGTACTATGGCACTGTATCTACTAGCTTTCCCTTTTATGGTATTCCCTCATTAGGTTAGTCGGTTGTCGGAGTCACAAATAATGGTGACTTTCATCATGTGGTGTGACAAACCGTGTAGTCTTAGCTGTTCATTCGCGTCGAGCAAGTAGTACTGTGACTCGTTCTGCTCACAACACCACTCGCCCGTGGATGACGACATTATTTCTATCCACTCATCCCATGAGTCTGGCCTGGAAGAACTCGACAGAAGAGCTATTCTCGAGCCTGTCGTCCAACACGTTGTCGATGCACTTGGTGGTTACGAGGGTGGCGCCTACCGCATGGGTGATGAGGTCAGCGGTTGTCTCCGAGATCCGAAGAAGCTCTGGAAGGACAGCAAAGATAACGAGCGTACGGTGGCGTGCATATTTTAGGAGATTCGGGTCCTCCTAAATGACCTTGTACTGATATTGTTTGGGACACTGAGGGACTCGTGGAAGACGAGCGGGCCATCGCATGTGCAGATTCAATGACTGCCATGACCTGGCCAATTGATATGGCGGAGGAGCTGATGAGGGGCTTGATAAAGGGACGGATTATACCCAGCTGGTGTTCAACCATCTCGATAGGCTGCGCTTCTGACGCCAGGCATTATGCAAGACCTCTTCGGGATTGTTCTCCCGCCAATCTCAAAGCACGCAAAGGAGAGAAAGGAGCGCGGCGAACAGATAGTGCATCTGGTTCTGCATCTCATTTGGAACTTGATCAAGGACTTCCCTGCAAATACGTACCTGAGCACGGACCAGGGGGAGTACTCGAGTTTGCAGGCTAGACTTGTGAAAGTACACTAGACTTGCTCCTTTTCAACACATCAAATACTCTTGTACTCGAGATATTCTACCTGTTATTTCGCGGCGTAAAGCCTCATCTGCTAGCTACAAACAAGTCAAAAGTGGAGTCCCTTCTTATGTTTTCTCTTGCATCCTGACATCTGCGATCGTTTTGCCCTCGAGAACATCCTCAGGAGCATCATAACGAAAAGGCAGGAGATTCAAGTCGAGTGTTTCCAAATCTCCCTCTTCGCTGTCACATGCCGAATATGATAACGAGGAGATGCTTCTGAAAGCCCCATCATCATTGTCGGAGTCACATTTCCCTGACACTGGGTTGATACCGCTATTAATATTGTCTATGCCTCGCAATGATTCACGTCCATCACTAGCCGCAACAAAAGATGTGATATACTCAGTCCTCCCGCCTGTGTATGAAACCTGCATCACGCAGTACGTCAACTCCTGGCTCACCTTCGCGCCTTAGAGAGGAATTAAGAAATGCATATTGGTCCGTGAGCATTGAGTCGGCAACCAAAGCGGCACGTATATGAATTGACGACATATGTGGTCTGAAGCACTACGTACTTTTTGGTCTGTCCAGAAAGACAGTCGGAGGAAGCGCAAGTTCCAGAGTTGCGTGTTATATTTTGCTTGAATACGAATGTACCATCCAGAGCACTCTCTACGAGAAAGTCCAATCAATAGCTTGTCCTTATAACTAGCGAAAAGTCACTCTGGAAAGGATCATCACGGTGACACAGGCCATGAAGCGTGCTCTGAAAAGTGAACGGAGCAGTCCATTTTGTAGGTGTATGTCACGATTACGCTGCGATAGATACCTCAGAAGTCGGTTACCATGATCCTTGAAAGCTATAATAGCCGGGAATGATATAGAAAAAACGTACGAAGCAAGTACTGTAGCTGGGCCGTATGACGAAGTCCACCTACCATGCTAGGAATCCTGCTTTGTAGTCAAAAAGATGATGGAGGTACAGCAAAAAAATTGGGAGTATATCGCACGTCGGCAGAATACATATCAAGAAGAGCTCCTAGAAAGTTGAAACAGTTTGGGGGCGAATGGATTGGAACGTGACTGTTACGGTAGCACGTGATTCATCTCATTTCAGCGCGTCATGTGACAGTCAACGCGTTTCTTACCACCATGGATGACAACGACCCCATATCCCAGTTCTTCGACGAAGAAGACGTAGACCTCTACGCCGTCTTGTCGCTTAAATCAGATACCTCTGCGGAAGATATCCGGAAGTCCTACAGGAAACTTGCTTTGCTGTGTCATCCTGACAAACTCATTAACGCCACCGAGGAGGAACGGGCAAAGACATCTACGCAATTCCAGAGGATTGGTTTTGCATATACTGTACTAAGCGACGAAAAGCGGAGGAAGAAGTATGACAAAACCGGAAAGACTGACGAAGGGTTACTCGGTGAGGCGGATGAGGACGGCGGTTGGGAAGCTTATTTTGAGGACCTATTTGACCGCGTCACACGCGGGAGACTGGACGAAATGAAGAAGGAATATCAAGGTGTGTCTAAATAATATCTGGTAGATCGTCAAGTAACTCTGCTTATAGGATCTTCTGAGGAGATTGAAGACCTCAAGACCGCATACCTTGAAACCGAAGGATCATTCGACGAAATCATGAAGCACATTCCTCACTCTACTATTGATGATGAGCCAAGATTCGTAGTCACACTGTCGAATCTTGTCCAAGCTGGCGATCTGCCGAATCTTCCGCAATGGACGTCAAGCTCCAAAGACGAGAAAGCCAAGTTAGTGAGGAAGAAGCAGAGCGACAAAGAGGCAAAGGAGGCTGAAGAACTTGCGAAGGAACTTGGCGTATGGGATGAGTTCTATGGAAGCGGAAAGACAGGAGCGAGAAAAGGCAAAGGGAAAGCGAAGAAATCAGCAGATGACGAGGACGAGGGAGACACTTCAGCACTGCAAGCTCTCATCCTGAAGAGACAGAAGGGCCGCAATGGTTTTCTGGACGACCTGGCTGCCAAGTACTCAAATATGGAGGAGTCGTCCAGAACGAAGGGAGGAAGGGGAAAGAAACGGAAGAAGGGCGCGGACGAGTCTGAGGCTGAAGCAGAATCACCAAGGAAGAAACCTCATGTCCAGGATCCTCCTGACATTGATGATGAGGAATTCGCCAAGATACAGCAGAGGATGTTTTCGGATAAGCGCAAGCCAGCAGGTGAAGGATCATCCCCAGCGAAGGGGAGACGGAGCGGGAGAGCGAAGAAAGCCAAATAACTCCTGTTCTGTGGATGTCCCTCGTCTTACTTTGTATTGTATTTATATTGATGCATGTCTTCTAAATTATTATCGTTGAAACCTGACCCTTGTTTGTGTTGTATGTGGCACGTACAGTGGCTTACGATTTACCTGATCAGTTAGCACGGCGATGATCTTTCAAATTCCAACCTCCACAGATGATAATGAGATTATAGGTGAGACTCTCAAACGTATCTTACTAGATCAATTCCTAAACTACGACGGGCGTGAATAATGGCCACCAGCTCCTTAATGCACTCCTCCAAAACAACAACATTGTCCAGCAGTTGCGACAACGTAACTTGCGTTGCCCTCCCTCCATTCAAGTCCTCTTCCTCTGATCGAGAAGCCGCATGCCCACCCCACTGGCTACTAGCACTGAAGACATCATCTTCATCCGTATTCCACTTCGACGGCTGGGCTGATGTCCAAGGACCCGACTGGGGAACGGGAGCCACGAAGGGTTCAACGACAATATCCCGGGTACGCTGATAATGAGGAGCAAATGGACTTGCAGCGACGTTTTTGCCGCCCGACCTCGGAGGCGTTGTGGGTTCAGAAGGTGCCTTGGGTGGAGCAGCCTTACTTTTTCTTGGGGTCAGGAAAGATACGAAAGCTGAGGTCTTCGGCTTCGGCTTTGGGCGTTGAGGAGGCGTGTCAGGAGCCTGAACGACATCCCAAGAACCCGACGGTGGTAAGTTAGGCGACAATACGTCTTGAACCGGTTCAAGCGAGAGGGTGAGTGCATCTGTTAGATTTTCAGAAAATAAAAGACCCTGACGCCTTTCGAGGAGATATTGGTCGAAATTTTCGACTGATTGCCGGTAACGTTCCAGCTGGCCGACGAGGCCATGGAAGATAGTGTGTACGACGGGGCGGGTGTGTTCATCGAGCCTCATGGCAGGAAGTATATTGGTTTCTGTAGCAAACTTCTCGTCGATCACGGAGTCTATGGATCTATCATCTCGGCCATCATCTGCATCAAGATAGGGATCCGAGAATGAGGCGAGAGCCTCTGACACTGCACATGTAAGCCACCCCGCGATGGAGCGGTTAGGGCAGATAGCTAGCTCTGCAAGCACGCCCGTGAGCGAGATGTTCATCTTTGGCGAGTTTGAGAAGAATGTACGCATAGCCTCGAGGATGAGCGAGAGAATAGGGTCATTGACATTGAGCCGATGCTTGCACTTTGAACGTGCGTCCATGTCTTCGTCATCATGGATATGGAAACAGCTATGGTTCTGGATGGACGACATGGCGTCACGGAGATAGTGATCATAGCCAGTGCTGAAAGCATCATCATTGTGTGATGGGTCGACACGGGAGACCAGTGTGAGGTAGAGTCCCATCTCACGTTCGTGGGTTGAGAATGTGATATCCGGCTGGACGAATGTGGGCAAGGGCGGCATTTGTCGGCTTGCAGAGGGTTTGATCTCCTCTGCACCGGGATAAACGAATTCGTCATCATCACTATCTTCTTCAACTGTCTGTGTGACATCCGGGAAGATCATCGCAGGCTCAGGATAGCTTGTCGCATTCGCATCGTGGAAGACGAGGAACAGACCGCTGGTTGAAACATGACATCGCTGGTTCAGCATCGACTGGAACAACTGCAGAGCAGATGCGACCGTCGCCCGATTCTTCGAGCGCAGATTCGTGAGTAGCAAGTCTTTCAGTGTGAATCGCCCCATTGAGGTGAAGTATTCCGACTGTTTCTGCGATTCAGGAGCCTCCATCTCAAGCAGGGCCATCGCGCTACTTTTGCGCCGGCGGAGCTTTGTTGGGCGGTTAGCAGCGCGAGGTGGAGCACTGCTGAGATTGAGCATGCGAGGGTGTGGTCGTGAGCGGGGGGTGTTATCGTTATCCTCACTCATGAGGAATTCGACGAAGAGGTCGGAAAGCGGACCTGGCTCGAGCGTACGAATCACGATATCGATATAAGACATCACAGCAACAGCGCTGCCGTCGAGATCAGAACACTCAAGGATGGATGGGTAGAGTATGTTCTCAAGGAAGCTACGACGCACGGCATCCAGTATAGAGTGCACAATGGAAGTGCCTACCAACGCAGACGCATCGAGGCTGGACTCGGGGGAATCATGAACAGTGTTTCTGCGGAAAATATCCTGCAAAAATTCCAGTAACTTAAGGAAGTGGTCGAGGCGAGATTTGAAGTCTGGGTTAGAAGAGTCCTCGACACCTGAGGCACGGTTATTCTCCGCCACTAATTCAGTATGCTCCGTCTCATCCTCAGCGTCTGATCCTGTGCAGCCTAGCACCATCCCACTGCCGTGCAAGGGATCAGCCCGAGTTGGTGACTTTATCTCCAATTTCGATGGAAGCAAAGAGTATACTGCGCCCAGACCCGCCCCAAGAACGTCTGAAAAATCACCATCGACGATATACTCCGCCAAGGCAAGCGCTGCATCTGCAATCGGGTCCCCAGCTGCTGTCTCTAATCCAGAGGCTGGAGCTGATTCCTTTTCATCCCCTGCTAATCTATGTATTGGTTCCCCAGGGGACATTGCAACGTCCATGAGGAAGAGCAAGCCCGCGCGTGCAAAGTCGCCGATTTGCCCTTCACGGTGAACGAATCGGAGTAGATAGTTGAAAAGGAGGAACTCGTATTCTGTCTTGCGAGAATGGGCAGCCTGAGATGCAGGAGCAGACGTTATTGTGGCCTGCGAAGGTGTCGGTGATGCGCGCTCCCCTGTCTTCCCATCATCGCTCTTGCCCTCTTCCTCATCTTCGTCCTCATCTTCGTCCTCGTCCTCTTCTTCAACAGAAAAAAGCGGCTCCGAGTGGTACCAGTGCTTATCATGGAAGAAAATCATCAACAATTCGCGGTATGTTCGTATACGGCTGCACAAAATACACAGTAAGTTCAACACTATCGCCCATCAGCCTCCACAGATCGTCAAACACGAGATAAAGACTCACGATCAAGCTCATAATCAGACGGCTGGCTCCGCACGGCATTTTTGGCAGCTCCCATAACCCTGTTCCGGCCGTCTAGCTGCTCTTGGATGTCGTCTCCGACACAGTTACGCAGGAGGCGCAAGACAGCGCGGTGTACAGCGGAGTGCACGAGGAATTGCTCGTCCATGAGGATAACCATGTTCTGCACTGCACGGAGCACCTCGGCCTGGATTCCAGAGGGTCGGTCGGGTTCTGCGAGGCGCACGAGTGTGCCCAAGACATCTATAGGAATAACTATTAGCTACAGGCGCGTGGGGTAGATTGTAGTTGTTGGGGTACAAACCATTCTTGAGCAGAAATTCTAAGCAAGCACCAGTCACGCTGACCGGGAGTGATAATCAACGCTATCGACGAGACCTTCATGGTTGCAGAGCACATACCCTTCTTCGATATGGGACGATTCCCTCACTAGGGCGTCGACCATGGATTGCAAGTGAGCTGGAGCACCGGTGGACTTGATGCCCTTGGTGAGCTGCCGCTCATCTGGGTGCTCGAGTATTGTCTACGAGCATGCTGAGTGTTTACTAATTGGGATCTATGGAAAATTGAGGAAGTACTAGTACCTTGATGACATTCCAGGATCTGCTGAATTCAGCTGCATGGTCTTGAATGGGCTTTGGCAAGGCTTGGGGCGTTGCGCGGAGGAACTTGGAGAAGTAGTCCATCGTGCCTGGACATTAGCCCGTGACTTGGACTCAGAAAGTAATCTGCCAAACTGGAGGAACGCCTCTCACGTGATGTGCGCGTCCAGGTGCTTTAAGCTTAAATTACAAGTCAACTTTAAGTTTGCAATTTGGAATAAGTACTTGACTAGTGAGCATCAGCGAGCATGTGGTATATAAGTACAAATGGGACTGAGCTAAATAAGTGGTTGTCAGTAAAGGGACAGTACATGAAACAAGATTCCGTGAATAGGTATCATAAAGGATTGATAAAGAATACTGAGTACACAAAGAAAAGATAATGATACAAGTCAATCACATAGTTTCCCGTCTCCACTTATTCCAATCAAATCCAGTCGCCTTCTGCTTTCCTTTCTTCGCCACACTGCTAGCACCGCCACGATCTCTCCCAGCTTTCCTCGGAGGCCTCTCATTGCTCTTGGGATCGTCATCGTGAATGGGACCGATGCCTTCGACTTCAACGATATCATCGCTCCCATCCATCGGCGCCGTCGAATCGGGAAAAGGCTCAAATACAGCGTGGGCAGCACCCCCCTTGTTCTTCTCCCAATTCTTCGGATACATCTGTGGCACCAGCAGGAAGTGCTCGGGTGGACACGGAGGCACAGGGTAGGATGTGATAGGCCTGAGTATCTTAGTCTTGGCGGGAGGCTTCGAATTCTTCTGGTCAGCCTGAGGGTTCGAAGTGCCAGGAAGACGTGAGCTGCCACTCGCGGACGAGGATTCGGACAACGGCTTTGAAGCGGTGTGGCCAGATGAGCTTGAAGGCGTGGAGGTTTTCAAGGGCTTCAAGGGCCCTCCATCGCAAAACTTAGGCCACGGTTCAGCTTTACTCCAGCCTCGTTTAACAGCTGCTGATGCAATGGCAGCATCTCTCTGCTCAGCGAACACGGATCGCACCATGCCGCTTGACCCGTTCGATTTGGAAGTCGAGCCCCCAGATTTGACGAAAGGGTTTTTCGACTTCGAAACGGAAACCGTAAAGGAGCTCGCGCTGGCGAATTCACTTTCCACTTTCCGCTTCTTATTCTTGCCGGCCAGGGTCGCAACCATATCCTCCACACTTGACAAGGTACGCTTGGTGAGACGCGCACGGTCCATGGATTCGAGTTTCGGTGGCAGTGGCTCTTCCTGTGGACCATACGATGGTTGATGTCGTACTGGTGGTCGAAGTGTGTCTAGTAGACTCCATTGGGGCGGAGGGCGTGCTAAAGCCAAAGGGTGAAGCTGCTCTTTCTTGTCCTCGACCGCTGCCCGGATGCGGTTTTCTCTGCAAGGCAGGCGGGATGCGTAAAAAGTGGACGTCGTGCTTGCCTGCACATTCTGAGAGGCAGGTTCAGCTGGCCCGTTGTTTTCTTCATCAAAATCCGCATCTATTAGGCTTATTGGTCCCTCCATCATGTTCCGGAGGATGTACGGTTTGGTTTTGTGCTCGGACCAGATTGAGCAATG